GTAGCCTGCGTTCACCTGAGGATGCTGACATCCGAACGAGAATCCTAAGCAAACTTGAGCATTGTCCCAACATGACCCTGCAGGAAGTGACTAATGAATGTCAAAGGTTAGTGAATTTGAAGCACGATACCTCGATGGTAGAAAACACTAACCAGTTCCTCCACGTTAATGCTGTTGAGAGGAAAGTCGAGCAAGGTTCCAGTACACAGAATTATCGAAATGACTGCGGTAAACCATCATCCCCATGCTGGTTATGCGGAGGTTGGCATTTCAAAAGGTTTTGTCCGTTTAAAAGTCATCGTTGTACTACGTGTTCCAGGAAAGGACACAAAGAAAGTCATTGCAAAACCCGTAAACGTCGTCAACCTAAAGTTTATTCTAAAAGATTCAAGCCACGCACAGCCAAGGTGACGGTAGCTGCTAACAGAATCGGCTCCCATAATCGTAGAAAGTATGTTTCCCTCAAGATTAACGGGTACGATGCCCGCTTACAGCTAGACACAGCCTCCGATATAACGCTTATAAGCAGGAGGACGTGGGAGAAAATTGGGAGGCCGAGAAAATTTTCAACCTATCAGACAGCACACGGCGCATCTGGGGGGATTATAAACATTGCTGGTGAGGTTCACTGTAAAGTCACAGTCGCAGAGCTTACAAAGAAGGGAGTAATATTTTTAACAGAACGACCAGCACTCGACTTATTGGGACTTGATTGGATAGAAAAGTTGAAATTATTAGATCGTCCCATAAATTCAATCTGCAACAACGGCACTATGTCGAAAGTTGGGGACCCAACATTGTTTCGTGGGGGAGGTTGAAGTCAGCAAATGCAGTCTGGATACCTACCCCGCCTCTTCAAAAAAGGGGAGGTGTTAAGTCGGTTTCCAGAGAACTCCAACAGAGCCTCCAGAGGCTCAAAAAGAGCTCCAACCAATCAGAGCACGACAGAACATTCTGGAGTTCCAACGTGGCATGCTACCATTGGTCAGTAGCAATATATGTCGTTTATTGGATTGGCTGAATTAGGATGTTGATTTAACTTAAGCAAACATCTATAAATACTTACGATTTTTCTGTACAAAGATGAACCTTGTAGTAAAGTGATTCTCTGATACTCGTGTCTTCTCTCTGGTCGCTGAGTAGTGCTAGCCTGGGGTTATCCGAATAGCTTAGGATCTGAATATAGCGTTCAACCCACAAGACATATCAGTGGCGACGGGGAAAAACTACAAGACATATCACTGGCGACGAGAAAAAAAATGACAATGAGTATTTCTTTAGAGCAATTTGAAGCTTATATGGAGCGTCAAGAAAAACGGTTTGAACAGTCTCAAATCAGAGTCATGGAAGCTCTTATGCAGAAATTATGTATGTCTCAACAAAACTCTGCTGCTGGTGAATTTCAAGTATCTCATACTGACTCAGTTATTAACGCAATCCATGAATTTAATTTTGATGGTGCAGCAGGTGTCACTTTTAACTCTTGGTTTAAGAAGTATGAAGATTTGTTTCATATTGATCTCTGCAGACTGGATGACGCTTCAAAAGTCAGAATACTTCTAAGAAAGCTTGGGACAACAGAACATGAACGCTATAGTAACTTTATTCTCCCGAAGAACCCACGAGACTTTAGTTTTGATGAAACAATTCAAACCCTGTCTCAAATCTTTGGAGAACAGTCGTCTCTATTTAATATCCGTTACCAGTGCTTGAAGATAACGAAAGAATCAGGAGATAACTGGGTGAAACATGCAGGTATTGTGAACCGAGAATGCGAGAGGTTCAATTTGTCTTCCATGTCTGAAGACCAGTTTAAATGCTTAGTATTTGTCTGTAGCCTGCGTTCACCTGAGGATGCTGACATCCGAACGAGAATCCTAAGCAAACTTGAGCATTGTCCCAACATGACCCTGCAGGAAGTGACTAATGAATGTCAAAGGTTAGTGAATTTGAAGCACGATACCTCGATGGTAGAAAACACTAACCAGTTCCTCCACGTTAATGCTGTTGAGAGGAAAGTCGAGCAAGGTTCCAGTACACAGAATTATCGAAATGACTGCGGTAAACCATCATCCCCATGCTGGTTATGCGGAGGTTGGCATTTCAAAAGGTTTTGTCCGTTTAAAAGTCATCGTTGTACTACGTGTTCCAGGAAAGGACACAAAGAAAGTCATTGCAAAACCCGTAAACGTCGTCAACCTAAAGTTTATTCTAAAAGATTCAAGCCACGCACAGCCAAGGTGACGGTAGCTGCTAACAGAATCGGCTCCCATAATCGTAGAAAGTATGTTTCCCTCAAGATTAACGGGTACGATGCCCGCTTACAGCTAGACACAGCCTCCGATATAACGCTTATAAGCAGGAGGACGTGGGAGAAAATTGGGAGGCCGAGAAAATTTTCAACCTATCAGACAGCACACGGCGCATCTGGGGGGATTATAAACATTGCTGGTGAGGTTCACTGTAAAGTCACAGTCGCAGAGCTTACAAAGAAGGGAGTAATATTTTTAACAGAACGACCAGCACTCGACTTATTGGGACTTGATTGGATAGAAAAGTTGAAATTATTAGATCGTCCCATAAATTCAATCTGCAACAACGGCACTATGTCGAAAGTTGGGGACCCAACATTGTTTCGTGGGGGAGGTTGAAGTCAGCAAATGCAGTCTGGATACCTACCCCGCCTCTTCAAAAAAGGGGAGGTGTTAAGTCGGTTTCCAGAGAACTCCAACAGAGCCTCCAGAGGCTCAAAAAGAGCTCCAACCAATCAGAGCACGACAGAACATTCTGGAGTTCCAACGTGGCATGCTACCATTGGTCAGTAGCAATATATGTCGTTTATTGGATTGGCTGAATTAGGATGTTGATTTAACTTAAGCAAACATCTATAAATACTTACGATTTTTCTGTACAAAGATGAACCTTGTAGTAAAGTGATTCTCTGATACTCGTGTCTTCTCTCTGGTCGCTGAGTAGTGCTAGCCTGGGGTTATCCGAATAGCTTAGGATCTGAATATAGCGTTCAACCCACAAGACATATCAGTGGCGACGGGGAAAAACTACAAGACATATCACTGGCGACGAGAAAAAAAATGACAATGAGTATTTCTTTAGAGCAATTTGAAGCTTATATGGAGCGTCAAGAAAAACGGTTTGAACAGTCTCAAATCAGAGTCATGGAAGCTCTTATGCAGAAATTATGTATGTCTCAACAAAACTCTGCTGCTGGTGAATTTCAAGTATCTCATACTGACTCAGTTATTAACGCAATCCATGAATTTAATTTTGATGGTGCAGCAGGTGTCACTTTTAACTCTTGGTTTAAGAAGTATGAAGATTTGTTTCATATTGATCTCTGCAGACTGGATGACGCTTCAAAAGTCAGAATACTTCTAAGAAAGCTTGGGACAACAGAACATGAACGCTATAGTAACTTTATTCTCCCGAAGAACCCACGAGACTTTAGTTTTGATGAAACAATCCAAACCCTGTCTCAAATCTTTGGAGAACAGTCGTCTCTATTTAATATCCGTTACCAGTGCTTGAAGATAACGAAAGAATCAGGAGATAACTGGGTGAAACATGCAGGTATTGTGAACCGAGAATGCGAGAGGTTCAATTTGTCTTCCATGTCTGAAGACCAGTTTAAATGCTTAGTATTTGTCTGTAGCCTGCGTTCACCTGAGGATGCTGACATCCGAACGAGAATCCTAAGCAAACTTGAGCATTGTCCCAACATGACCCTGCAGGAAGTGACTAATGAATGTCAAAGGTTAGTGAATTTGAAGCACGATACCTCGATGGTAGAAAACACTAACCAGTTCCTCCACGTTAATGCTGTTGAGAGGAAAGTCGAGCAAGGTTCCAGTACACAGAATTATCGAAATGACTGCGGTAAACCATCATCCCCATGCTGGTTATGCGGAGGTTGGCATTTCAAAAGGTTTTGTCCGTTTAAAAGTCATCGTTGTACTACGTGTTCCAGGAAAGGACACAAAGAAAGTCATTGCAAAACCCGTAAACGTCGTCAACCTAAAGTTTATTCTAAAAGATTCAAGCCACGCACAGCCAAGGTGACGGTAGCTGCTAACAGAATCGGCTCCCATAATCGTAGAAAGTATGTTTCCCTCAAGATTAACGGGTACGATGCCCGCTTACAGCTAGACACAGCCTCCGATATAACGCTTATAAGCAGGAGGACGTGGGAGAAAATTGGGAGGCCGAGAAAATTTTCAACCTATCAGACAGCACACGGCGCATCTGGGGGGATTATAAACATTGCTGGTGAGGTTCACTGTAAAGTCACAGTCGCAGAGCTTACAAAGAAGGGAGTAATATTTTTAACAGAACGACCAGCACTCGACTTATTGGGACTTGATTGGATAGAAAAGTTGAAATTATTAGATCGTCCCATAAATTCAATCTGCAACAACGGCACTATGTCGAAAGTTGGGGACCCAACATTGTTTCGTGGGGGAGGTTGAAGTCAGCAAATGCAGTCTGGATACCTACCCCGCCTCTTCAAAAAAGGGGAGGTGTTAAGTCGGTTTCCAGAGAACTCTAACAGAGCCTCCAGAGGCTCAAAAAGAGCTCCAACCAATCAGAGCACGACAGAACATTCTGGAGTTCCAACGTGGCATGCTACCATTGGTCAGTAGCAATATATGTCGTTTATTGGATTGGCTGAATTAGGATGTTGATTTAACTTAAGCAAACATCTATAAATACTTACGATTTTTCTGTACAAAGATGAACCTTGTAGTAAAGTGATTCTCTGATACTCGTGTCTTCTCTCTGGTCGCTGAGTAGTGCTAGCCTGGGGTTATCCGAATAGCTTAGGATCTGAATATAGCGTTCAACCCACAAGACATATCAATATATATGTGTTTAAATAAATAAATAGAAAAAGTACATATCCTCATTTGGTGCATGCTCAATTATATCGCTCGCTTTAAATGGAATACAGTACCTATTTACTAGACAGCATCACAAACAACAATTAGATGTTAATGAAGAAATGTATTTTACAAAATATAAGCGTATCGCAAAACTAATGATCTGTGTATAATATTTTATCTAAAGAAAAGATTAAGAAATAGGATTGTTCTTTCTATTTTTCAAAGTCATAGATAATGAGATATAAAAAGGAAAAATTAATCAGCAAAATACGAATCTGTTTTTCTATAAAGCGTTTATGTTCTCTTTTCTTAGCCAACTTTACGGTTTGGTCCACTTTGATCCCAATACACTTTTGAACGCATTTCATGTAATCTAGATAATGTTCTAGAATAAGCAAACAAATCTTCATCACCTGTAAATATTGATGCTTTCATATTAGTTGGATGATCCTAGAATTATCAGAAAGAAAATTGTATGAAAACAATGATAACATATAGGAAATATTACGATGATTGTCTAAAGTAAACAACTTCACCTTGTCTGTAAATCAAATCATTCGATTTGCTTGAGGGTTGGATACTGCCCAGGAGCGGAAACCAAAGCGGGTGGTTTTCTCAAGGGGTCACTACTCCCCGAGCCATCGATCTATAGGTCTAACCCATAAGGTAGCGAATCAACGTAAGGAGATGAAGTTCCATGGTGGTCGGTGACCAACAATAGGTTCATACATCATTTTCCCACCAAGGATCCTGGAACCTATGAGCACCATTGGTTTGAAATGAGGGTTTTCCAACTTCCCTCGATGAATCCTCCGTATTCGCTAGCACGGATAAATCAACGGTCATTCGCTTTTCGTCCTCTTAATTTCGTGAGTAGGAATTCCTTGGTAGTGGGCTGTATACGCGTGGCAATATGAGAGCATATCGAGAGGGAGAGATGACTCTCCTTACCCTCGATCGTACAAGGGCACTTGGGGTCCTGTACAGTTGTACGGATCACAATCATAAAGCCTGCACATTTCCTTAAACTAACATCATACGATCTCATTGATTGATACATGGTATACACCTGTGACTTGACTTCAATATGATAGAACCGCTAATGCTGTAGACAAAACATATATCCTACTTAAATCATATGTTTTATCATTAGATCCTGTTAATAACAACACGGACATAGGAGTCAAATACGTGTGTTTCAGACGTTAAGATTTCATGCATTTATTTCGATAGACAAATGAGAAGCAGAGAAGGCAGATATCCCTACTCAAAATATTACACATTACAAGTGTTAATATAACTCAAAATAAATAATACATAGTATGACAAGAAGACAAGTGTTGGACAGAATAAGTAAACAGACACACAAACAATTCCACGCAAGGCATATAAGCGTAGAAATACAATAACGTAAATATACTAGAGATCACAATTTCCTATAAAAAAAGTAGAACTGCTAAGATGGCAAAGAAGACTCAATAGTCACAAGCTGATTGAGTCGATTGAAAAGTCAGAATCAATCACATGGATGCATAATTAACACAGAAGCTGCTACATCCCAGTTATTTTCTAAATGCTAATGTAACCATTGCAAAGCAACGTTTTTAGGAACTGAGTATAAGTAGAACATCTTCATCATATGAGCTATAAAACGAAAATCAGCTAAAATTTCAGAAAAATACGTAGCATGTTTTTTTCTATTCTTAAAGAATGTGAATGAGTAAAAACGTTTCAAATCAAAGTACATATAAGTTGCCTTATCAGAAAAGTCAGTCAGTTATAACGTAGCAACAGGCATAGTTATGCATCGGTCCAAGTTACCTCGTTAGCACAACAAGATGAACACCGGATTCATAGAAATAGTTAATTTAGTGGTGGTAGTACTTATCAGAAAAGTGTTTTGTGGAGTAATAGTAATGTTAATAGTTGAAATCATGAATCACTTGAAGCTAGACCACCATAGAAAACCTGGAAGCACTGCTTTAAGGCCGATTCGTCCTACTATGGGACTCCTGAGCAGTGCGCATTCATGATTCCGCCTCGCGAGATTCGAACCCAGGATTTATCAGTCTTGCGCGCGAGCGCTTAACCACTAGACCACTGTTTATTTCATTTATTTAAACACATAAATGTTGGTACAAGGAAGCACCAGATATATATGCGCCTCACAAATCTCATTTGATTTCTGTGAGGGCTGTGATACTGCTCAGGTGTCCAGACTGAAGCAGGTGCTTTTCTTAGGGGATCACATCCGAAGCCTTCGACCTGAAGGTCTGATCCACAAGGCAGTGGAGCATCGTGAGGAGATGTAATCCCATGGTAAGCCGGTGACCATTGATTGATTCGTACGCCATTTGTTCCTTCAGGATACTGTAGTTAGCCCATGTGCACCATTGGTTTGGAATGAAGGTTTCCCAACTCTCCCAGGTAGACACTCCACATCCACCAACCCGGTTAAAACGCTGGACATTCGCTTTTCATCCTCTCAATTTCGTGAACAACACCCCCGCCACGAGAAGTCAGTGAGCAGGACTTCCCTGGTAGAGGCTATATATTCGAGTGGCCATGTGAGAGCATTTCGAGAGGGAGAGCAAACTCTCCCAACTCTCGGTCGTACCAGGGCATTTGGTGGCACTAGACCACTGAGCCGGCATCCAACGCTGTCAATGTCTAACTTCAACCAATTCACAAAATTGAGCGACACATTCACCAAATGTCTGCATTGAATTACTATTTCACAACAGACCTAGTTGAACTACAGTGGTCACTGCTTCTTACAATTCTTTTTTTACAAACAACTTCTCTATCATAAACTTACCATATTAATCTTTAAATCATCTATTAATTGACGATGATGTGATTGTAATTCAATAGATGATGTATCATTTTTAGATGATAATAAATTTTCAATTGAACAATTAGCACCAATAATAAGACGTGTATGTGTATCATATAGAACATCAATTAAATGTGTAAAACGTTTTAAGCTTGGTAAATTATGCATTCCCATTTGTGGTACATCATATAATATAATTGTATGAAAACGTTTAGCTAAACTCATATAATCAGCAGCACCTAAAGGCTTTTTTTTAATGAATAGAAATTTAAGAAAACAAACAAACAAATATGATAATAGATCGGAGGGGGTTTTGTGGAGAATTTAGGATTTTCATAGTTGAAATCATGGGTCAATTGAAGCTAGACCACCATCAAAAATCTGGAAGCACTGGACGACCGTTTCGTCCTGTTATGGGACCCTTCAGCGGTGTGCATCCACCATCCCGCACTCGCGAGATTCGAACCCATGAGCTACCAGTCTCGAGCCGAGGCCCTTAACCGGTGACCGGGATCGTGGATGCGCACTGCTGAGGAGTCCCATAATAAAACGAAACGACCGTCCAGTGCTTCCAGGTTTTTGATGGTGGTTTAGCTTCAATTGACCCATGATTTCAACTATGAAAATATGATAATATCAAATAAGCATAAGTTTTTCAATATAAAAAATTTATTCACAAGTCGATCTAACGAGTCTTATGCTAAGACAAAACGGCTATCCAGTGCTACTAGGTCTTCACCAGTAGTTTAGCAGTTTAGATTGAATCTAATATTCAATCATGAAAATATAAGTTTTCATTGCCTCCAAATGCCCTGGTACGGCCGAAAGTGGGGAGAGTCGGTTCTCCTTTTCGAAATGCTCTCACACGGCCACACGTATATAGCCTCTGCCATGGAAAGTCCTACTCACTGCCTTTTCGTAGAGTGGGTGTTGCTTACGAAATTGGGAGGACAGAAAGCGAATGTCTGGCGCTTTAACCAGGTTGGTGAATACAGACGACCCACCTAGGGGAGTTGAGAAACGCTGATTCCAAACCAATGGTGCTCATGGGCCCCAGGATCCTGAAGGAACAAATGATGTATGAACTTACTTATTATAGTTTTACACTTTACAAATCGAACCTTTTCATTTAAAATAAGTTTTTACAATCAGTCTCACTACCTCGGTCATTGGTATAGAAGTGTTCCTAGATGGATTTTCATTAATCCCTTTCATTCAAAAAAAATTTAAAAATTTTATAATTTCTTTTATTTTTGTAATTTCACATATTCTCAACATTCGCTTCTTCATTCTCACATACTTTTACTTCGGTCTGGGCACCCGGGTAGTATCATAGCCCACACATAAATCAAGTGACTTGTGTGGTGGATATGTACGCAGTTCTCCGTTTGTACCAATATTTATATGTTCATGTTTGAATCGAAAATTGCATTTCTGTGCTAATGTGGTATGGCAACTCGAACTGATGTACGTACGTACGAAGTTATACGTTGTGACTGACTGAGATAAAATAAAAATCTTACATAACTAGTATAATACTGAATTCTAATCAAAATACTTCGTTAGTCCTTTTATAGATTATGCAACGTGTTATAATTCCTCTTATTACGACTCCGTTATTCCTATGGCTTAGTATTCTTAAACACCAATTCACTCGACAAGTCCCCAAATCAGAACACAGTTGAACAGGAACGAAATTATATTCCAAATAATAAGGGTAGATGGAAATAAGAAGCAAAATAAGAAAAACGTTAGTATATTTATAATTTTTACATGAGAGCATTCTCCAAGTATTCACTAGCGCTGATTGGTTAAGAAATATCCAATTATCGTGCATGGAACATGCTTTAGTCCAATCTATGTCTCGAAAACACAACGTTACAAAATATTTATATGATATATACAGCCTTTGATAATGTATTCGAATTTCGCAGTATGCTCTGCAATCGAAAATTCCATCGTTTCTGTTCTACAAGTGTTCTGACTAAGCCGTGCTTTTTGATGAACTGAGGCTTTTCACTTCATCTGACGACTGTGATATCTTCGACACTACATCGTACATACATACTTCTTACAAGTCATCTTATTAGTAGTATTCACCAAAAATGGACTAAGAAGACACTAGAATGCTTCTTTGTACATTTTACATGTGTACTAACATTTTTTACTAGATTGTTTTTTATTACTCGAATCTTCGAAATACATTTCATTCGCTTTCAGGTGTGATTTGTGACCAGATGAGATAATTAATGACTCTAAACATTACTAAGCAGTAGGAAAATAAAATTAGGGTATACAGGACAGAGAGTTGTTGTGGCTTATGAGTGAACGCATCCGAATTTCAGTCACTTAGTCACATGTCTGAACATTGTTGCAACTACATTCGGCATTATTATTATTATTAATTAATGGCTTTATTCAATATGATAATCTGGTACAATATAGAATTCTCAGCACGAGTTATTTCAACAAGTTTTTTACCAAAAAAAAACCCAAAAAAGCAAACAAAAAAAACAGAACAGAAATAAAAAAAGGTTTAGGAAAATCTGAGTTTATACAAATTATCGAATATGAGACATGCTTAAGAAGACAGGTTATTTACTAGGTCAACTCTAACAGCCTGTTCGTCACAAAGTAAATTTGCAAAGTAAGGTATTACAGAACTTTTATGGATTTGCTTGCGTGCATGGATTTTAATGTATTTACGTCTCGTTCTACCAGAAGATATACAAGGAGAAAGATATGAATGAAGCGGATGGTTAGTAACTGATAAGATAACACCTGCCAAGAGTTTGCAAGACTTAAGATGTCTATCCACAAGCATATTAATAATGACTTCAAAAGATTCACCACATACCTTGCAAACTGCCTTGAGCACTCTACGCAAAATAGCAAAGTCTTTTCTCAAAAGCCCGGGAAAGAATAATGGAGAACAATATAAAATAATAGGTAATATGCAAGAATTTACAAATTGTAAGAGTAAATGGCAAGTAATCCCAAAAGCATGCAGCCTCTTTATGTAGTATGTCAAACGGTAAATTTTTTTCGATAACAGTAAAACATGAGAAGACCAAGAAAGATCAGAGGAAAAAATAACACCAAGATATTTGACCTTCGACACTGTGTTTATTAAGGAGTCTCCAATGGCACAAGCATTATGGGATCCCAACATAGAGTATAAGTTCTGTCCATGTCTCAAGCTAAAGTTAACAGCTTGACATTTAGATGGATTGAGTAAGAGACCATTATCAACAGACAGCCTTTCAATAAGAGATAAAAACTCATTCATTTCTATAGGATGTAAGGAGGTAGAAATTGGCATACATACGGTGAGGTCGTCCGCATATTTTACAAAAGTGTTTTCTGTGGAAGATGGCAGATCATGCAAAAAGAAAGAGAAGAGCAGAGGTGAAAGAACAGCTCCTTGTGGCACACCTACAGTAGACAGTAGAGATGTTGAACACTTTCCTTCAAAGACAGTGTACTGTTCTCTTCCAGAAAGGTAGAAACGTAGCCAATTGGTTATCCAGCTGTCAGTGTCGATGTTGATCAGCTTGTCAAGTAAGAGGTGTCTTGGAATAGAATCAAAAGCAGAAGTAAAGTCCAGGAAAGCGCATCTAACATACTTCTTACCCTTTTCCAACCCGAACACTATATTGTGATGCAGAACAGCAACGGCATCTAATGTGTTTCTTTTGCATTTGTAAGCAAACTGAAATGGATCACAGTGCTCTTTTATTGCAGGTTGAAGTGGTTGTATCGGTAATTTTTCCATTATTTTGAGGAAAGATGAGGTTATTGCTATGGGTCTAAGTTTCGCATTTTTATCACCAGAAGCTTTCTTTGGTATAGGGATTATCCTTCTCTACATTTTAGGTAAGACATTAGTTGAGAAGGATCTGTTAAAGATATTCGTTAATGGATAACATAAAACATCAGCACATTTTTTAAAAAGGAGGTTTGGGATACCATCAGGTCCTAAACATTGAGGTGAATTCAGAGACTGGAGACATTTCCGGACATCATTTTCAGTGAAACTGGGAACACAATTATTCTTCAAACCCTTGGATATAGGGAGCATGATGTCAGATGACTGATGAATAAAGGACTTATTTAAGTCACAAACATTTAGCTGATTATCGCTTCTAGTCTGCCTGTCCCCTGTAATTTCTTTAAAGAGTTTCCACATACTTGGAGAGCTTCTACAAGATAGGAGTTTTTGAGTGAACACACAGTTGAGACGTCTAATCTCTTGGTTTATTTGATCATTTAACTTACGAACTTCAATAGTGTTTTTCTCCTTGTACATCCTTTCTTTAACACTCCGTAGTCGTTTTAGTTGTGGAGATGTAAGTCGATCAAAACTTAAAAAGAAGGTTTCGGTAGGACAGCAAATATCAAAACAGAATTTAAGATAAGAGGTGATAACATACGTTGTGTTTTCTATTGAGTCATCTGTAAGTACTTCCCAGTTGGTCGTACGAAACATGTTTTTGAGATTTTGTAAATTTTCTTCTGAGTAACTCCTCTATATTACATTTTTTGGTATGGTGTATGTGTGTACTCTTTCCATGTTTACCATATACTTTAGTTAGGACACGAATTATACAGTGATCCGAACTAGACAATGGAGCACGTTTGCGAGTCACATAGGTACCCACATCATTAATGAAAACCAAGTCTAGATAAGCATTCAAACGAGTAGGAAAATCTACTACATTTATGTGACCTAGTGATGTAAGGAAGCTACAGTGACATGAATTGAAATCACCACATACAATTGAAAGTGAATCACTGAAGGCAGTAACGGCGAATTCAGTAAATTTATCAGTGAAGACAAATAGCACAGATGATGTGCAGTCTGGAGTCATATAGATATTGGTAACATAAATATATTTGTATTTATTCAGGTGTTTTGGACGGCACCTTAAGGTTAGACAGTCAATAAAGTCGTTTGAAAACTTGAAACAGGCAAAAGTAGATCGACACCAGTTAACGTTTACAAAAGTAGCTACTCCGCCAGCACAGGTCTTTTTATTGTTTGATCGATCCTGACGATAGATATTAAAATCACGTAATGACACTAAGCAATCATCCTGTAAGTCAGTTAACCAAGATTCTTGAATTGTGATGACACCACAATTACGATACATGTTTTGAATTAGTAGAAATTGGAGATAGTCCACCTTGTTAATTAGTGATCGACAGTTAGAGTTAAGTAGCTCGGGAATCGACATTTGATTGATGTTTATTCTCTTTAAAGCATATTGCCAATCACCACGATGTCTCTTATTGTACTTGTTTGTAATTTTTGCAGCGAAAGGACGTAAGCTTTATATAAACGCGCCTGTATATGTTATGCGATTAATAGACATAATGATAGGTTAAAACAAATTTTAAAAAACCCAGATAACTTGTTGAAATATTTAGATGGAAGAAACAGGTAGCCCAGGTATTCAAGCAGGCCGCCTGACAGGCATGAGAAACTAAGTGGTATCACACATATAGTGTGAATCGAAACCAAGTACACAAATCTGTATCGAGTGATTGAGTCTCAAATGATTTATCAAGCTTGTGAACATATTCTTTCTAATCAATTTTAGGCCATTCTTTCTTATTAGGTGAAATAAAACAATATCATTTAACGTATGGGAATAAAAACTTCTCATCATCTTACCACATTGCACAAGTCAGCAAATGAACATTTTAAAATATTCCCACCAGTTTGTTTAAAGGTAACTACACGTCCATATGTTGAAATTTCCCCAACTATCGGTGGTCCAACTATTGAGAAAAATTATTTTTGTTTAAAATAGCAAAAAAAAAACACTATTATAATCGTTGAAAGAATGAGTCAATTAAAGCTAGATCACCAAGGAAAAACTGGAAGCACTGGACGGCCGTTTCGTCCTAATGTGGGACTCCTTAGTTCAGTGGTCTATCGGTTAAGTGCTATGGCGCGAGACTGGTAGGTCCTGGGTTCGAATCTCGCGAGGCGAGGTCGTGGATGCGCACTGCAGAGGAGTCCTGCAATAGGACGAAACGGCCGTTCAGTACTTCCAGGTTTTCCTTGGTGGTCTAGCTTCAACTGACTCATGCTTTCAACTATGCAAATACTAAATCTCCACAAAAACCCCTTCTGAATATTATAATCATCACTAAAAGTATTTTTAATTTGAATATAGCTTTTGTTATGAATTTAAAACATAAAGGAGGCCGTATGCTAATTCTTCATTGATTTTATGTCCGGCTTTTATCACGTGATTTATCCACCAATCGGAATACAACTTTGCCAATCTTAGCACTGTGCTAGTCAATGAATTCGACCGGTATGAGCAGCCTAGCGTCTTTATTGGTCTCTTGTCCGCCTGGCCCTTGGAATTGAGTCGAGAACACCAATTGCAGCTTCTGCTATACGAATCATTTACTTCAAACATACTCGGTTTATATACTAGACAGACAGACCGCATCTCACCATAAAATAGAAAATAATATTTGTACAAGATCAGGCCACATGTGGCTGTGAACGTGGGATACAATAATCAATAAATTGAATTTGATTTAGGGACAGTAAATCGTATAACAATAATCCATAGGTCGAAATGAAGCTTATAATAAGATGAATATAGATATACACAATCCAATTACTCAATAGGTGCATCCACTCTTTGTGTTCTCCCAAATTCTAATCTTCTGAATTCTTCATGTCCCTTTCTTTTTTCTCTATTCAAATTTATTTCACTGGATTATACTCCTTCAATAACATCTTCAAACCCTAGTCTTTCGGATTACTGCTTATACCCTTACTACTTCTACCACTATGGGATTTGAATCGACAACTGCATCTATGTGCAAATGTGGTATGGCACCTCGTTCTGATGTACGTACGTACGAAGTTCTACGTGGTGACTGACTGACTGAATTACTCAAGAGTTAAACAGTAAGAATATACATAGAATAATCGTCCATTAATAGGTCCCGGAAGTTACCCGTACTTATGTCTTCCCTAGGATATAACAGTTTTAATCAAAGATTAAAGAATCAGTAAATACTCAATTGTTCCATGTTAGTTTAAGACTCGTTTTTGTTTAGCAATTTTACATATTGTATAAGGATGTCAAAATATTGTCTTTATAAGGGTTTAATATTCATACATTGTTGGTCAAACTTAATCTTTTAACTGAATAGCTTAGTGAATAAATACTAGAATGCTTAGATCACAACATGTATGATTGGTGATATGTTTGTTTTTGTTAACTGAAAAAAGAGTATAACATGTAACAGTTCTGTTAGGGTGATCCAGAAAATTTCTCGCAATAGACATGACAAGTTCATGAAAACAATACAAAGCATTTTATCCAATCTGCGTTTGATTAGAAGTTTCGCCAGAAATATCACGAAAATGAAAATTCACATGTAGAGATTCTAGAATTTTCAGGAAAACCCAAGGACTTTTAAAATACTATAAAAAATCTATATTTTCTGTACATAAATGAACCTTTGGAGTAAAGTGCTTCTCGTATATTTTGTGCCTTTTCTCTTGTGTTCAAGTTGCTGTGTAGTTCTAGCTTGGGGATTACAATACTAGCTTAGGATCCGAGTATAGCGTTCAATCAGCAAGACTTATCAAGTTTGCTGTGTTTTACTTTACACATGTAAAAACTGAATTTTAAGAAAAGAGAATATTTGTAGATTATGAGTATTTTATCATAGGTATCTTTAAAATATTGTACATATAGAGGTTGGGACCATCGAATAATGATTTCTTTGGCGACCTATTCAACATCTGGGCTACCTGTTTTCCTGACACCTTATATATTTATTTATTTGAACACATAAATATTGGTACAAAGGGGGTACCAGATATATATGCGCTATACAAATCTCATTTGATTTGTGTGAGGGCTGTCATGCTGTCCAGGTGCTCAAACTGAAGCAGGTGGTTTTCTTAGGGGGCCACATCCGGAGCCTTTGACCTAAAGGTCTGATCTACAAGGCAGTGAAGCATCGTGTGGAGACGCAATCCGATGGTAGACGGTGACCAACGATTGGTTCATATGCCATTTGTTCCCTCAAGATACTGGAACCCATGTGCACCATTGGTTTGGAATGAGGGTTTTCCAATTTCCCTAGATTGACCCTCCATGTCCACCAACACGGTTAAAGCGCCGGGCATTCGCTTTTCGTCCTCTCACTTTCGTAAGCAACACCCCCGCCACGAGTAGGCAGTGAGTAGGACTTCTGTGGTGGTGATTGTATTCACGTGGCCATACGAGAGCATTTCGAGAGGGAGAGCGGACTCTCCTCACTCTCAGTCGTACCAGAGCATTTGGGGGGATCTCTGACACCTACATATTTCAACAAGTTATCTGCTTTTTTTGTCTTAATATATCATTATATCTATTAACCACACAACCTATTCAGGTGCGTTTATGAGAAATTTACAACCTTTAACTATACAAGTTACAAAAGAGCTCAACCAGAAACATCGTGGTCGCTGACAATATGCATCGAAAAAATTGTACATTATTTAGATGCCGATTCCTGAACCGTTAAATTCTAGCTGCCGATCAGTAATAAGAAAACGAAACTTATTGAAATACTATATGCTGAGATATCTATATTGTACCAAATATATAATATTGAATAAAGCCATTATTATTAATATTAATAAAATTAATGCTAATGTAAGGCTTATAGTGATAGGAAGGTTTCATAATTTTTATGATCTTAACAAAATTGCATCATCTCTTTTTTCCTCACTGATTTTTTTTATTAGAAAATTATGAAAACAGATCAATATTAAAACTGTGCTGTGTGCTACTGACTTCAACAGATATAAATAGTATGTATTATCAATCGAAAGTGAAAAACCTGGCAACAGAAGGTTAACAAGATCAAAACAAAAGAGAACGATTGGTGTGGAAACGAAAGAACAATGAAATCTGAGACGATTGACTGATATTTGCAAAAAGGAACAGTCAAGTTTGAGATAATTGACTGAACTTTTGCAAATGAATGATTTACTGTATGGTTTTCCAGATTTTACAAAGATGTTCTGTCATTTTGTGTTCGAATACATCCGATTGTCCCCAATTGTGTTCTTGTTCACTACAAAACTACTTACATTAAATAACACATAAGTTATGCTGAAGATTTTAGATATTGTACGAAGCTTATAATACTGAACAAGACCTATTATGATCAATAAACTCTTCATCTAATACATGGCATCGTGGTATGAAAGAAAGCTGCAAAGGGCTAACTTCTGTTAGTCCTTCACGACTCCCTGGCTGGGTTCCGAGAGAAAGTGCAACACAGTGGCTAGAGACGTTATCAAATATGGCTCAGAATAGAAGCCAGTGGCGAGCCTGTTGTAACCTTCTTTTACTTTCTTCATAAAGAATCGTCGTAACTTTCTTAACTGAAAGAGTTCTTCTGGTTGTACATTTCAGTTTCCCACATCATTACTCTTCTCCTTTTTTTATTTATTTATATATACGCATCTTCCCCCTTCTCCTCTCATTGTCATTATTTTGTGTGGCGCATATGTATCTGGTGCCCTTTTGTACTAATATGTACGTGTTTAAATAAATAAATAAAACATCTAATACATTATACTTACCATGCCCATCTTCAGTTGTTAATTTTGTAAACCATTTGTCAAGTTGATTATCGACATCATTATTTCCAGTAGAATAACTTTTTTGTTGTTGTTGAAAGAATAATTAGAATAGATAGAAATATAGTATTTGAGAGTAATAATATAATGAATTAATCACAAATCTATTTTTAGTCTTAATCAATTAAACATTTCAAACACTGTTTTGAGATGGTGTAGAAGATTTGTAGCTCAGGTGGATGATTTTGGTGAAGTTTTGTTCTACGAGTTGGATGGTCTGGCCATGGAGCTTTCATCGTTATTCTGAATAATATCATCAGCACAAACTTCAGGTAAAGGTCAATAATAACCAATCAAGATCGAGGTCTACAGGACAAGCTGTGAGCCATATGTGGAGAAATTCGAACATTTCACTTCTACTTGAATTTTGTGCTGATGATATTGTTCAGAGTAACGATGAAAGCTCTACGACCAGACCATCCAGCTCAGAGAAAAAAGCTCCCGCAAACACCGTAAAGATGAAGCTATACATATACTTATCGAATTAGGTAATCAAAATATTTTTGACATCTGCCTAGCAACCACTTACAAAGATATAGAATGCTAACCAGTAGAGAAGTAGGTTGGAGTTAAACTAGGGTAGTTAGAGTGATATATGGGATCAATCAATGAAATTGTTAACTTTAAGTTCGAACTGTGTTAGGAAGATGTAAGTTTCCCAGTTAAGGCACGTGTGATATATGTAACTAATGATTGGAAACGTTGGATGACTAAACGTAAAATAAGTTTAGGTGGAAAAATTGTATTCACTCTAAATTTCCTTAAACATTGAACTTAACGTCATTTAGAACTTTTCGTTAATTGTACCTTTTGGACTGTATGAAATAAGAAGTGAACAAAGCGTTTTTTCATAATCATCACATTGATGAGTGAACCCGGATGCCCAGACTGAAGCAGATGCTTTACTTAGGCCAGTTCTTGGACCTTAGAAAAGAAAGTTTAATCCACGAAGTAGTGGATTCAACATCAGGAGATGCAGTCCCAAAGTAGCGGGTGACTGAAGTAGGTTTATACACCATTCGCCTCCTGATGATCGTGGAGCCCACCATTGATTCGGAATCAGTATTTCCCCACCTCTCTAGGTAGACCCTTCGCATCCACCGAAACCTGTTTGAGAGTCAGACGTTCGCTTTACGTGCTCTCACATTTGCGCCGAAAAGAACACCACTCTACGTGGAAGAAGTGAGTAGAAATTCCATGGCAGAAATAACAAACGTGTTTTTCAAAGATGATCATGATAATTAACGTTCTACGATAATGAGTATTATATCCGTTTTCTCTCTGTTACTTTTCTTTCACGCTGTACTGATATAAAGCGTGGTAACTTAGTTCTGCGTTACCTATGTCTAACTAATTATAAATACAAATGTTATCAGATATTATTAATTCATTTTTATTGTCAATGGACTTACTCTAAATACAGGGGAAGATCTGATTCTTGCAATGACGTTTCACTTATTTTGGTACGATAATCCACACCAGAATCCAAGTTGACTATATGACACTTTTCCTAGAACGGAAGAATAAACGTGGGGAAGTTTGTGTAATTGACTTGAAATCAATTTTGTATTGTTATAGTAAACAGATGTTTAGGAATTTAGTAGTTAGCTTGTTTCCAACCCTTCGAAAAACTGTGAAAAAGAAGGTTGAATATTTAAGATTATAAGCCTTACGTGTACACTGCAATCAGAATGGTAAACTAGTCGCATGAATTCCCTCTCCTTAGTTAACAAATACGATTAAAACAAAACTTTCATTACATTGTCTGAAAACCAGGAGAACTAGAATACATTAATCATAAACGGCAAACAATTAGAATAATTATATAGATCAATCAATTAACCTGATCATTTGACTACGTAGTGATGGATGAAACGATGCCCTTTTGGTAAATAATACGGTGAAATTCGATACACAAAACAATATCTAAAGTACATGTAGAAGGAATAAAGTGCATATTAGTTGCAAGACCTCAATTGAAAGCTATCTTTATTATTTTGAATACAACTACTTCGATTTATCGATTGCACGATGTAATTTATTTACCAAGTACAGATTTATATACTCCGCATTGAGCCATACTTTAGTTGTGTGGGGATTAGTGAGTGACACTAGCCAGATGAGGTAATGGAAATACATGGGGTGAGGTTTGAATCTATGATACACTGGCGAAATATTAGTACAAGGGGCACCGAATACATATGCGTCAAACAAATTATTAGATTTGTGTGAGGGCTTGGATACTGCCCGGGAGCCAAAACCGAAGAGGGTGGTTTTCTTAAGAGGTCACTACTCGAGCCTTTCGCCTAAAGGTCTAACTCACATGGCAGTGGAGCAATGTCAGGGGATGTAGTACAATGTTGGTCGGTGACCAACAATAGGTTCATACGCCTTTCGTTTCCTCAGGATCTTACAGCTTATCTGCACCACTGGTTTGCAATCACCGTTTTCCAACTACCCTAGGTGGATCGTCTGTATTCACCAACCCGGTTAAAGCGCAGGACATTCGCTTTCCACCCTCTTAACGTTGTAAACACCGCCGCAAGAAGGCGGTCAGTACGACTTCCGCGGTAATGGCTGTATATGCTAGCCTTGTGAGAGCATTTCGAGAGGGAGAGCTGATTCTCCCCATTATCGGTCGTACCAGGGCATTTTTTAAAAAGACATGTCAGAGGGATAGTAAAGAAAATAAAAGACAATTCAAATCTCCAAGCATTAGCATAGAACAAAGTTGGTAAAATGTGGATACAGGAAAATATTATAAATTAAATTTCGTAGCCAAAAACACACTTAATTTTATTCGTAAATGCGATTAATCGTAACCCAAACAGTCTAATAATAACGTCACTATATGCAGTATTGACAAACAGATTTGCATTGAAATCGTGAACCGACCAATGTTAGACCACCACTAAAGACCTGAAAATAATGGACAGCCGTCTCACCCTAGTGTGGGACTATACAGTAGTTGGCATCTATGATCCCACACACATGATTTGAACTCGGGATCTCCGGTCTCGTGAGCGAACGCTTGACACCTAGACCACTGAGCCGGGGTCCAACGGTGTTAATGCCTAACTTCAACAAATCCACGATGTTGCTCGACCATGTCCCATTGTTTTCGGTGGGTAACTGTCTCACATCTGACACGACTGACCTCTACTGGTCACGGCTTCTCACCAGAACCCCTTCTTGAAGCTAGCTACTAGTGAGCATATGACAATTTACAGCTGCGCAACATCGTGGAGTAGTTGAAGTTAGACATTAACATCAGTTAGTAATGATGAGCGTCATGTTTGTTTAATCCTTAAATGATAATCGAACCCTATCCATCAAGTTGCAATGTTGCCGCTGGTCTAAGTGATCAATCAATGTAAATATCTCAGTTCTACGAGAGGTTAGTCGTGGCTCAAATAGCTCAATGATGACATCCCAGACTAGGAATCTTGGAAATGGAGGTTCGAATTCCATAGGGAGTATCAGTTTCCCGAAGACTGTAGGTAAACCACTATGAGGATAGCCAAATAGAATGAAAAACAAGTCCAGGATTTCCCTCCGACTACCTCCAACCAACTAACATCAAAAAATGTTTGCACTTCGTATGGAATTATAGATTCCATGAGCTTATCTAGCTGATGTAAATATGTTCATAAGCGAAAAGTTATAGATTCAAAGGTTCTTTCCGAGTGATACTAACCAAGAAAATTTTTGATAAATTGCAAAACGTCTCCAAGCTATTGAGCTTAATCACTCATAATGTGAAGGATATCGAATAAACTCAGTCAGCGCGAACAACTAATCAATCCAATGAATATTCAATAATCTGATACCATATCATAACAATAGATTGTACTGTCGTTAAACTCCCATCATATTTGTTTAATTTTACGTTTTACACATAACTGTATCATTTCACCCATAAAAAGACTTTATTTACTGAACTCAATAATGTTATACTACCTTTAATATCAGTTCACTTTACGTATCAATAATTGAATATTCGTGAACAATAGTGACTCAGCTACATTAATTCAGGGGATTCATTACATGAACATAAGTACACACTATTCTCTTATATATATTACAACTTACTTTAAGAAGACCTATGAAAGGTACAAAGTTTACACGCTGTAATCCATTCTTGTATAAATCTACAACAAACAAAAGTATTCAATGTAAGAAATTAGAAAACGTCCTATTTTTTATGTTGACACTTACCAGTAAAAAACTCAACATTTATAATTATTGTAACACTGAAGAAAAAAATGAAACTATAAGTAAGCCCCCAAATGCCCTGGTACGGCCGAGAGTGGGGAGAGTCCGCTCTACCTCTCCAAATGCTCTCACTTGCCCACGTGAATACAATCACCACCACGGAAGTCCTACTCACTGCCTTTTCGTGGCAGGGGTGTTGTTCACGAAATTGAGAGTATGAAAAGCAAATGTCCGTCGCTTTAACTGAGCCGGTGGACACGGTGAGTCCACCTAGGGGAATTGGAAAACCCTCATTCCAAATCAATGGAGCACATGGGCTAACTCCAGTATACTGAAGGAACAAATAGCGTATGAATCAATTGTTGGTCTTCGGCTACCATGGGACTGCATCACCTCACGATGCTTCACTGCCTCGTGGACTAGACCATTAAGTCAAAGGCTCGGGATGTGGCCCCCTAAGAAAACCACCTGCTTCAGTCTGAACACCTGGGCAGTATCACAGTCCTCACACAAATCTCACTTAATTTGTGTGGCGCATATTAATCTGGTGCTTCCTTGTACCAATATTTATGTGTTTAAATAAATAAATTATAAGTGAGTAGATCAGAAATGTCAACTTTCGATGATATTCATCACAGATGTTCTTCTAGAAATCATGATTTTTTTCAACGACTGATATCCTACCAGAATGTTCATCTATTGACATAGTCAAGTGCTTATATTTTTATCAAGGTAACTTATTTAGAATTATATGATACGTATAAATCAGCTTTTTAAGTGAATCATACCACTTAGTCAAATATATACTGAATATTGTAGACTTAGAAAAAGTTATTTAATGTGTATACATGCTAGATATGTGAATAACTCAGATACTATATTGAAGAAATAAATTTTAGGATTGAAAAACAGATTTAAAGTGAACTTCATTCATTGACTTTGGATGTTTTCTTTTTCACATAGATCGATTTATTCAGTATGAAGGTCATCTATTTTACTTTCAATGTATCATCATGACATCAATTAGTCTACTGTGATTTATGCCCTGCTAAGGCTGAGAATGGGGAGGGCCCGCTCTCTCTCGAAATGCTCTCACATGGCCACGCGTATATAGCTTCTGCCAGGGAAGTCCTACTCACTGCCTTTACGTGGCATTACTGTTGTTTACGAAATTGAGAGGACGAAAAGCAAATGTCCGGCGCTTTAACAGGGTTGGTGAATACAGACGACCCACCAAGGGGAGTTGGAAGACCCTGATTCCAAACCAATGGTCACATGGGCTCCAGTATCCTGAGGGAACAAATGGCGTATAAACTTATTGTTGGTCATCGACTACCAAGGGACTGCATCTACTTAAGATGCTTCACTGCCTTATGGATCAAACCTTTAGGTCAAAGGCTCGAAGTGTGCCCCCTTCCGAAGAAAACTACCTGCTTTGGTCTGGGCACCCGGGCAGTATCATAGCCCTGACATAATTAAATGAAATGACATTTTTTGTGTGGCGCATATATATCTGGTGCCCCTTGTACCAATATTTATGTGTTCAAATAAAATAAACTGTGATCTATATTCAGTAAAAAATTACTCCATTTACAAATTATAACTAACATATATTTATCTAAACACATAAACATTGATACAAGAAGGTACTGAGTACATATGCGCCACACAAATCATCCGATATATATGAGGGCTAGGATACTGCCTAGATGCCCAAAGCGACATATAACTGATTAAAAGGGATATAATTTTTTTTTTGGAGTTTTGATCAATACATTTTCGTTAGAAGACTTTTCTCTTATCTATTGTTCAGGAGATTATAGTTAAAATGATATGTATTACCTATCTAGTCTATCCAGTGAACACAGAGATTCTATTCTGTATCAGAAAAATTATTCAAACGTTCGTAATTAGAAATACATAATAGGATTTTCATTCACAATAACAAATTATTGTAAATTGATTGAATAAAATGTCTTTTTTTGTTGTTGATAATGATCTAATGAGAATAACAAACAATAATAAAAGGCATTAGAAACTAACCATCAGGACAACGATTCGATGTAGCAACAACGACAGCGCCAAGATTAAATAAATTCTCAAATAATCGTTTTAATATCATTGCATCTGCAATATCTGTGACCTAATTTACATTTTTTTTTAAAAAACAACAAGAAAACAGAAAACTTTTAACAAGTTTTTATTCAATAATTTTCTTAAACTAAAAAGGAATGGAATAAAACTTGTAGTGGCCTAAATCTGATTCCTTTTTGATTGTATGAATGATTGTTGGCTGTCAAAATATACATATTGTCTATCCTCGTTTGTAATAAATGACTTAATCCGCGTTGGTGAACAACGGAGTTAAATACGTCAAATACGAGAATAGATATATATATATATATATACGAGAATATATATATTTTCTACACTCATTGATCTGACCAGGGAGTCAGAGTGATGAAGCGAATAGATGAGAGAGAAGCAAAATGGCGCGCGTTGGAGATGGCGGGGAAGCCGACCCATTTTAAGCAAACGTTAATCAGTATTTATAGCAGACAAAAATGAATGACAGAATAAGATACGGAGTGTGCATACACATGCGCTCATATAAAAAGGTAGTCAAGGTTAATAAGCAGATAATTAACAGGATCAAAATATGACTCATAATATATAGGTGAATTGGCTTGGCCAGTAACTAGAATAAAGTATATGGGCTTAACATATAAACTGATACTACAAATGAAATATTTGATTGCCGCGAAAACCTACTTAAGTTTATGCGAACCGATTTCGTCACTATGAGAGCTTCTAATGTCTCAATCAATATGTTAGTTATGATTTTTAATTGGAATGATACATTTTTCGGCTGTTTTTGTGAGCAATTTTATGACATAGTCGGAAAGGTCAATCGAAGCTCAAAGAAATGCTGAGAATTGTAAAACAAAGACATTTCAGTGATCTTGATAAATTTCACTTGTGAATAACTTCTATTCGTAACATCATGTTTTGTAATTGACTAAACGATTGATGAAGTAGTGAAACTTTATCATTTGGGATGGCTGGGGCACGTATGCGTATGCCCGAAATCGCAGCACAGATACAGAAGGCTCGTCTAGCTTTCGCCAACTTGCGTCATTTATGGCGTAGGCGAGATATCCGTCTACCAACCAAAGGACGGGTTTACTGCGCAGCAGTTCGTTCCGTCCTACTTTATGGCAGTGAAACATGGCCGATAAGAGTAGAGGATATTCGTAGGCTACTAGTATTCGATCATAGGTGTCTTCGAAGCATTGCTCGTATATCCTGGGACCACAGAATAAGTAATGCAGTTGTTGTTAAACAGGTACTAGGTAAGGATGGCAAATCAATTGATGAAGTAGTGAGACCTAATCAGTTGAGATGGCTGGGACACGTATTACGTATGCGCAACCAACCACCGACTGCTCCGACGTGCAATATTTTATGGTGTAGGGGTATGTTGGAAGAAAGCTAGAGGCGGCCAGACCAAAACGTGGCACAAATCCATGAAGTCACTGACAATTGAACTGAACCATGTTGGTAAGTGTAGACTACCTGGTTGGGATTCGCGAGATGATAGCAACAAATGGTTAGAGACCTTGAATGACATGGCTCAAAATCGTTTACAATGGCGAAGATGTATCCACTCTTTGTGTTCTGCCAAATTCTAATCTTCTGAATTCTTCATATCTGTATCTTTTTTCTCTTTCGAAATTTATTTCATTTAATTATACTCTTTTAATAGCATCATCAAACTCTAATCTTCCACATAATGCTTATACTCTTACTATTTCTACCACAATGGGATTTGAATCGACAACTGCATCTCTGTGCTGTGGTATGGCAACTCGAACTGATGTACGTACGTACGAAGTTCTACGTTGTGACTGACCGACTGACTTGACAAAATGTAATTGAGAGCGATATATGATAACAACCATTTTTACCAGTCATAAATCTAAACATGTGAAATACAGTTCGAGATGAACGAATCACATCGATAGGTGAGAAGATTTCTATGACTTCATATTTAGAAGAAAATAGAATGAATAGTAATAATAATAATATCTAAAAAGAAACAAACCTGAAATTCATCGAAGCATAACAATTTGTATTCATCAATGATACTTTTCGCTACTGGAGGAATAGGATCAAATGATTTTTTGTTTCTTGGAGCAGATGACCGAACAGCATGTAGCCCTTGAGAGAGAGATATATCAAACAAAAAGTAGGAAAACATGATAGATGATAACATTTACTTGTGATATGTTTTGTACTAATTTTAAAGTGTAAACAGGACTTTTTCAACTATAAATACACTGTAATAAATTAGTTGAATGGTGTAGCATGTTCCAGTTTTATTTAAATATTTGTTTGGTTTACCTATATACTAATTATAGATTTATGTACTCAACTTTGAACTGTACTTGTGCTGTGTGAATGCTAGCGATTATATATGGTTGCTCAATACAAATACAATAAAGACGGAGTGGAGTTCAAATTTGTGACCTAATAGGTGAAAGATAAGTACTTTAACTACCTCTTTGTTTCACTTTTACGAACCTCCATATTGAAAATAGATCACAGATATGAATACAGTGGTCTTGAGTGCTGTTACAGGTATGAGAGCAGTTATCACTTCCCGGTTGCCCACGCCGTGGAAGGGTTCTTATAGAGGTACCTGAAAAGGAAATTGGATTAGAAGTGGTCTTAATGACCTGAGAGAGTGACTGCAGTGCCCAAGGGACAACTGCTTAAGGTCGGTCACACACGACCTTTTTGTGGGTAGTTTTTGTGTTAGCTCCGTTCTTCAAAGGACCTTACCGCCGGAGACGGATATCCGTGGGATAAGACAAGGTGTGCATTTTTAGGGTCAACCTTTTCTAACCCCATCTCTCCTTGTGGGAAGGCAGCATCGCTGTTATGTTGGTTGTCTGAGGGAAACATCTTACTGCTGTAACACCTCTCTACAATCAGAAGTACAATTTCGCCCTTTTAGTTTCACCGCTCTTCAATTAACCTATATGGCATGGTAGGACCTTGAAGGACGATTGTTCCAGCCAGTATAGCTCGATTGGTTCATCATGATAGGCAAGTCCGACCACCAAGTCAAGGTAGCAGCAGTGGTCGGGAGATCACAGATATATTATACTACTTAACGATTAATGACTGACAGTTATATCAAAAGTAAACTTACTTTACAGATGATGAATTCAGTGTTATAAGGTATGAGATATCTAGATACTTCATCAATATAAACATCTAATTTGCTAACAATAAGCTGTAGATCCTAGTCTAGTTCAGACAACAAGGTGATATTATTAGTTGTAGTAAAACAAATGTGCAATGTACGCTAGTGAGTGAAGTGACAATAAATAATAGTTTACGACTATAACACAGAATTTGATGTTTAAATAAAATAATATATTTAATTTTGTGTAGCGAAGGTGTTTATGGAAAATAGGACAAACAACGAAGTTCAAAAAAAATTAATTTAATTTTGTTTGCAAATTACTCAATAAATGAAGGACCTAGCCGAGATATAGATATCTTATTTATCTACCGTCGGTAGTTCCCAACACATATCGTCAGCAGTGACCAGTGGAGTTCTACCAAGTCTGTTGTAGAGATAATAACTCACTGAAGACAATTGGTGAACGGTTGCTCAAAATCGTGGATTGGTTGAAGTTAGATATTAACACCGTTGGGTGCCGGCCAGCTCAGTGGTCTATCGGTTAAGTGCTCTGGCGCGAGACTGGTAGGTCCTGGGTTCGAATCTCGCGAGTGCAGGATCGTGGATGCGTACTGCTGAGGAGTCCCACAATAGGACGAAACGGCCGTAAAGCAATGCTTCCAGGTTTTCGATGGTGGTCTAGCTTCAATTGACTAATGACTTCAACTATGCAAATAAATATTCTCCAAGAAGATTTGTAGGAGTCACCAAATCATAAAAATATAAAAATAAACGAATAAAGAGAAAAATATATATATAAGAGAATAAAGAGAATAAATAAACACAAAAGTCTGATAAAAATGACGCACTATACGACTTTGGAAGTCTTTTATCTTTAAATAAACAATTAGATCTTTAGTAATTACATCACCAATGATTATTACCTGCAAAGATATACTTCGAGTTTTAAAAACAGTATTATTAACAAAGAAACAATGCACAAGTTCTAACACACTGACCAACGTAACAACTTACTTCCATGAACTTTATACATGAATGAGTGGAAATGAGTTCTCCACTTGCAATCGAGGCTACAGCACTCATAAAACATATCCATTAACATAGTCTTCCCGCAACCTTTAAAACATTTACTCCTTTCTAATACTAAACTAACCCACAGAACCGTATAGGTAAATACCTCTAGGAACACTTTGACTATTAAGCACCTATCATACATTAGGTATATAAGAGATAAACTTACTGATAATAATCGACTTCTGTTATAGTATGAGTTTAACTCCTTACAAAGTTCATCGAGTTGTTTGACAATCGAAAATTGAAAATCGTCATGCCTAAGTTTCCCTTCTTTAACATGTCTACAATATATAGATGAAGTTGTTCGTCCATCAGCATATTGTCTCAAAGGAATGAAATAACTTTTTTGAATGGCGAATAAAACATTGATAGTATAGCGTTTACTCAACATTGGGCAGGAAGTGTAATTATGCAACTATGGTCTCTTTATATCTTACAGTTCCAAAAACCCTGAAAATGAGGAAAGCAGGAACTAAATCTTCAACGTTTGACCAAACTTTCAAACAGATTATTTTCTCAGTTCCATGTCTGAAGCTCTGACAGTAGATTTTACATACATTGAGGTTAGAGTTTTGTCTCGATCATGCCAGGAACCTGAAAAAAACAGACTTTAATAGAATGTAGACTGATAAAACATCAGTTGAAAGATGCTTCAGAACTCCTGAACCTGAAGCCGATATCAATCCCACTTTTTAGGAGATCAAAAAATTTAGAATCATTAAAACATGAATTTAACTGGCAGGTTACTGTAAAAGTAAATATGAATCACTTTACAACTGTTCCCATGATTAAACCACCGATGCCTTCAGGTAGGGACGTAGGTACACTTAAGGAGCGAAAAACCTTAATAAATTATGATGAAATACCGTCCAAAATCCACAAGAATATATCAAAATTTCTCTTGAAGTCCTGCAAAGTCGCTTAGACCACCTCAGCTGGCAGCGAATTCCAGTGTTTGATAACTCGTAAAGAGTAGAACGTCTGCCTACATTATATTCTATGTTGTCTTGAATGTCTGTGAATTCTCCTAAATTGTGTGTTGGGAATGGGCGTCAGCGAGTATTTTAGGCTATGCCCAGGAGTGTTGAAAATGCTGTAGGTCATTGAAAGGTCACCTCTGAGACACACTTTAGTGGGTGAAGAACCGGTGATTTGAGGCGCACCTCATAAAGCTTGAATTCTGATTCCTCGAACTGATTTTGTGGCTCGTCTTTCGATGCATTTCGGTGTATTTCTAGACTTCTGGAGTGGAGACATATTTTCGTACGAAAACTCCATAAATTTTAAGGATATTGTAAAAGGTGTTACCAATCGATAACCTGAAGGTTCATTGTGTTAGACTCCTCTGGAAAATTGGTGTGAAGTGGACCAGCTTCGAAATGTTTGAGACCGCGTATTGGTTTAGAGAGAAAACTTGGAATTGGACTATCAAGTTTGAATTCCTCTTTGTCATCTGAAGGGCGACTGCGAACGTTAGATGTATGTTCTCAGCAAGAAGGGGAAAATTTGAAAGTCTATTAAAGTGATTGGGTTATTACTTTATACTTTGGATGGCTATATTGATGAGACTAATGGATGAGAATCACAAAACCTCCGTGTGCTATATCTTGTCATACGTCATGAAACCTGAAGTCAGCCAATTTGCACCGCTTGGCACTTCATAAGTACGGGTTTCACTTACGTGTGCTACACGATACATATAAGGCAAATATTGACAGCATGTTTGGTTTCCTATGGAGTTGACGTCTAGGATGCATTTTTCATAAATAAAGCATTATATTTTAGCTGTATCATTTTTGGAAGATCTTCAACAGTGACTGTGGAACTTCGCAATTACTACGAAAACGTGTGAAAAAAATAAGTTACAAACATTCTTCTAAACTGTGACCTCGTTTCCGGTGAGTAAATGTCCTTAACTATATAAGATTTTTAAAATCCTGTCCACTTCTAATGAAATACCCTCCAAAATCCTCAAAAATTTGACAAAACGCGCGCTTTTCAGACGGTAAGTTTATTCCTAACGTGATTTGCAGTTCTCAAAATTTTCTGTGTTCTGACGCAACAAAAGTACCATTTCCGATCTATTCTGAGCTATACGTTCGGTAGATTACTTTTCTTTTTGAGTTTCACTCAACTTAATAGTTAACTGTGGTTTGCCTCAGCTCACTATCGGTTTTTTAGTTTTCACATAAAGACTAGTTTTTAACTTATTGTTAACCGTTTTTATCCACTTTTGCCAGTTTTTGTGTACTGTGTTTTTTAACGGTTCTAGACTTACTGCTTGTATTTATAAGACAGTCTATATCATTAGCCATGAGAAATTCATGCGAAAGACCTGGTTGCCGTTTCACTGTTACATCTGGCATGCAATGTGACAACTGCAAAGGTTGGTTCCACGAAGCGTGTACAGATCTAACAGCAACAGCCTATAGCAGACTCAGCAAGTCTGATAGTAAGTGGGTATGTGTTACGTGCAACACTGATACTGTAGTTATGCTGGGTACCATCATTACCCTACCAACAGGTCTGAGGGACAAGTCTAAAAACTTGGTAAATGACAGTAACACGATGGGTAACAAAACAGGAACGCACAGGGCAAACAAGAAAAGGGATATCGATAGGTCGGCTATCGACAGTGCAGGTAAAAGCACGAGTGATGATGTACTGAAACTCAGCACCATCTTAAAATCGACGGTGATCGACTCCCTCAGTAAACTTGGGTCCACCAGGGAAGAGTCCTTGAATGAAACAGTGGTTCCCAAAAACCCCGTGGGTGGTTGGACACGCGTTAACAGGAGTAAAAAGGACCAAGCGTTACAGCCGAAGCTGAACATCCCAAGTGCCGTGGAATGTCTTTATTTCGCAACGACAGGAAAATTGGAATGGGGGATGGAGTAGTCTTATACATACGATCATGCCTGGAGGTAAACCAACTTCACAACTAAGAGTTTCTCAATCTTGATGAATCAGTATGGTGCTCAGTATGATTGTCTACCACCTCGAAGTGTCTAGTTGGGGTCATCTACAGGAAGCCCACTGTCGACATCGAGTATGACAATCGTTTGCTGGAAGGATTAACCCGCTCTACGCTTCTCGGATCCTCGCATATCCTGATTCTAGAGGACTTCAATCCTCCTAGGATCAACTTCGCGGAACATACCTACATTGGAGGTGACAACTCTACTGAAGCTCGGTTCTTCAACCTCATCGATGATCTTGGATTATTCGAAAATGTGAAGTCGGCAACTCGTTGGAGAAACAGTCGGACGCCGTCGCACTTAGACTGGGTATTCACAAATGAAGAATTCTTAGTCGACGACCCCTCAATCCTGGCTCCCCTGGGGAAAAGTGATCACGCCGTCCTATCCTTCAGTTTTGTCAGCAAAACGGAGCTAAGATATTTCACTAACAACGCGCTGGAATTTCAAACGGTTGAATGTGTTAGCTTTACAGGGCTATCTACAACAGGTGGATTGGGATGTTCACCCTCAACTTGAAGTGGATGCTCATTGGGATTTTTTACTGCACATGATCTTATGTGCTACTGAGCATTCAGTTCCTCAAATGGTCCCAAAAAGCTACAAACAACCTCCAATCATCAAGAACCGCACTCGTCGTTTGCTAAGCCGCAAAAGGCATTTTTGGGCCGAATATAAACGCATAAGGAACATATGTTCAAAGGCAATAAGAGAAAACAGGCTTCAGTTTCAGACCAAGCTCATCGATAAATTCGTCTCCAATCCGAAAAGCTTATTCAGTTACGCAGCTTCTCTTCGACAAGGCAAAACTGGATTTTCCCAACTGCTAGGTCCTAATGGCCCGACCAATAACGACGGTGATGCTGCTAACCTTTTGGCTAAACAATACTCCCAGACATTCCAGCTGACCCACATCAACCATACTGACGAAAGCTTCACCTGCACCTGCACAGGACTTTCCGAAGTGGACCTGAGTGCTGACCTGGTGCTCCTTAAACTGCAGCACCTAAGAAAAGACACTTCTCCCGGTCCGCATATGGTTCATTCTGCTGTATTGAGGGAAGCAGCTTCAATCCTGGCGACACCACTTAGCGTAATGTTTGCACACTCGCTAAGCAGAGGCAAACTACCGGAAATTTGGAAGCTGGCTCACATCACACCAATTTTCAAAGGAGGTCGACGCAGTGAACCCTCAAGCTACCGACCAGTGGCCCTTCTCTCCATACCTTCCAAAATTATGGAATACCTAATATACGACGGTATACAATAATACTTATCATCCTTAAAGTTCTTCTCACCTCAACAGCATGGTTTCAGAAAAGGTCATTCTTGTATGACCAACCTGCTGACTGCAGTGGATAGATGGACAGCCATCCTTGATCGCAAGGGGAAGGTTGACGTCATCTACCTGGATATCTCAAAAGCTTTTGATAGGGTCAACCACGTATGTCTTATCAAGAAGCTTAGACGATTGGGTATCAAACCCCCTCTGATTGACTGTCTCTCTTCATATTTAGAAAACCGACACTTTAAGGTCAGGGTTAACTTCACTCTCTCTCAGGCTATGGAATGTCCTAGTGTGGTCCCTCAGGGCTCAATACTAGGACCTCTTTGTTCTGCTATGTTGGGTCTCCAGTGAAGTTAACCCTGACCTTAAAGTGTCGGTTTTCTAAATATGAAGAGAGACAGTCAATCAGAGGGGGTTTGATACCCAGTCGTCTAAGCTTCTTGATAAGACATACGTGGTTGACCCTATCAAAAACTTTTGAGATATCCAGGTAGATGACGTCAACCTTCCCCTTGCGATCAAGGATGGCTGTCCATCTATCCACTGAAGTCAGCAGGTTGGTCATACAAGAATGACCTTTTCTGAAACCATGCTGTTGAGGTGAGAAGAACTTTAAGGATGATAAATATTATTGTATACCGTCGTATATTAGGTATTCCATAATTTTGGAAGGTATGGAGAGAAGGGCCACTGGTCGGTAGCTTGAGGGTTCACTGCGTCGACCTCCTTTGAAAATTGGTGTGATGTGAGCCAGCTTCCAAATTTCCGGTAGTTTGCCTCTGCTTAGCGAGTGTGCAAACATTACGCTAAGTGGTGTCGCCAGGATTGAAGCTGCTTCCCTCAATACAGCAGAATGAACCATATGCGGACCGGGAGAAGTGTCTTTTCTTAGGTGCTGCAGTTTAAGGAGCACCAGGTCAGCACTCAGGTCCACTTCGGAAAGTCCTGTGCAGGTGCAGGTGAAGCTTTCGTCAGTATGGTTGATGTGGGTCAGCTGGAATGTCTGGGAGTATTGTTTAGCCAAAAGGTTAGCAGCATCACCGTCGTTATTGGTCGGGCCATTAGGACCTAGCAGTTGGGAAAATCCAGTTTTGCCTTGTCGAAGAGAAGCTGCGTAACTGAATAAGCTTTTCGGATTGGAGACGAATTTATCGATGAGCTTGGTCTGAAACTGAAGCCTGTTTTCTCTTATTGCCTTTGAACATATGTTCCTTATGCGTTTATATTCGGCCCAAAAATGCCTTTTGCGGCTTAGCAAACGACGAGTGCGGTTCTTGATGATTGGAGGTTGTTTGTAGCTTTTTGGGACCATTTGAGGAACTGAATGCTCAGTAGCACATAAGATCATGTGCAGTAAAAAATCCCAATGAGCATCCACTTCAAGTTGAGGGTGAACATCCCAATCCACCTGTTGTAGATAGCCCTGTAAAGCTAACACATTCAACCGTTTGAAATTCCAGCGCGTTGTTAGTGAAATATCTTAGCTCCGTTTTGCTGACAAAACTGAAGGATAGGACGGCGTGATCACTTTTCCCCAGGGGAGCCAGGATTGAGGGGTCGTCGACTAAGAATTCTTCATTTGTGAATACCCAGTCTAAGTGCGACGGCGTCCGACTGTTTCTCCAACGAGTTGCCGACTTCACATTTTCGAATAATCCAAGATCATCGATGAGGTTGAAGAACCGAGCTTCAGTAGAGTTGTCACCTCCAATGTAGGTATGTTCCGCGAAGTTGATCCTAGGAGGATTGAAGTCCTCTAGAATCAGGATATGCGAGGATCCGAGAAGCGTAGAGCGGGTTAATCCTTCCAGCAAACGATTGTCATACTCGATGTCGACAGTGGGCTTCCTGTAGATGACCCCAACTAGACACTTCGAGGTGGTAGACAATCATACTGAGCACCATACTGATTCATCAAGATTGAGAAACTCTTAGTTGTGAAGTTGGTTTACCTCCAGGCATGATCGTATGTATAAGACTACTCCATCCCCCATTCCAATTTTCCTGTCGTTGCGAAATAAAGACATTCCACGGCACTTGGGATGTTCAGCTTCGGCTGTAACGCTTGGTCCTTTTTACTCCTGTTAACGCGTGTCCAACCACCCACGGGGTTTTTGGGAACCACTGTTTCATTCAAGGACTCTTCCCTGGTGGACCCAAGTTTACTGAGGGAGTCGATCACCGTCGATTTTAAGATGGTGCTGAGTTTCAGTACATCATCACTCGTGCTTTTACCTGCACTGTCGATAGCCGACCTATCGATATCCCTTTTCTTGTTTGCCCTGTGCGTTCCTGTTTTGTTACCCATCGTGTTACTGTCATTTACCAAGTTTTTAGACTTGTCCCTCAGACCTGTTGGTAGGGTAATGATGGTACCCAGCATAACTACAGTATCAGTGTTGCACGTAACACATACCCACTTACTATCAGACTTGCTGAGTCTGCTATAGGCTGTTGCTGTTAGATCTGTACACGCTTCGTGGAACCAACCTTTGCAGTTGTCACATTGCATGCCAGATGTAACAGTGAAACGGCAACCAGGTCTTTCGCATGAATTTCTCATGGCTAATGATATAGACTGTCTTATAAATACAAGCAGTAAGTCTAGAACCGTTAAAAAACACAGTACACAAAAACTGGCAAAAGTGGATAAAAACGGTTAACAATAAGTTAAAAACTAGTCTTTATGTGAAAACTAAAAAACCGATAGTGAGCTGAGGCAAACCACAGTTAACTATTAAGTTGAGTGAAACTCAAAAAGAAAAGTAATCTACCGAACGTATAGCTCAGAATAGATCGGAAATGGTACTTTTGTTGCGTCAGAACACAGAAAATTTTGAGAACTGCAAATCACGTTAGGAATAAACTTACCGTCTGAAAAGCGCGCGGATAACATATTATTTTGATTTTTCAAATTCTTTTTTCCTCTATTGTGGTTAATATATCTAGATTCTTGCGAGGAATTATTGGGGATCCACTGCTACCAGAAACGGAAGCCCGTTACGCGAGAGCTTCTATTTTGTCCTCAACGATTTGAACTTTGACAAATATAGGAGACATTTGGGCTAAGAACATGCAATTGTGGGAAAATGGAGTTGAAAGTTGAAAAATAAAGCCAAAATTTACTAGACAACTCTGTGCACTTAGGTGTAAAACAAACAATTCTGCAAGACTGTACTATTTCCTGATGGCAAGAAAGAATTGAGACTTTGACGCGTCCCGCGTTCTCACATTATTGTCTTAAGGAACGTTACACCTAATTTTCCTCGTGTTTGCCTTTATTTTCGGTTTGCTTGGGTAGATCGCAATTTCTTAAATTTCCGCTCTTATAAAAGTTTAGAAAATCTAGGTGACTTGGACAGCTATAATGATAAGAACTAGGTATCATTCGAATGAAGAGATTGGACACAAACTTTAAAAAACTAAATTCCTGAAGGAGCGAAAAGTTTTTCGAACAATATCATTGCAATATTACTGACTTATGTGGCACCTATTCTACATACGCAAAAGATGACGCAACTTACGCTATCCTATTTAAAATCCCGAAATATGTTAGTAAATCTGTTTTGACTAAAGAAGCATGATAATTACTTAAGCACAACGGTTGCCCCCAGTTAACATTACCTTTCCAATACTCAGTATCCTTGTCACGTGCTCAGACAAGGAGGGCACAGAAAGTCAGCGTACTTCAAGGTCGCCCGCCGTTTCGTTTTAACGACCTTGAACGGCATGCCAAGAGGCGGTCATTCCGTATTTGAGTTGTTTAGGATCTGTCGGTTGTCATTTGGGTTGCACGAATATCAGGTTTTCTAGTATTCGAGTCGTATTTTGATGCAGTGAACTCGCGAAATCAACGCAGAAAGCGTTTATTTAGCTTCCTCTGTTTTGTAGTGTACAATTTGGCTCCTTTGTTGCTTCATAAATTGACCTGGGATACCTATTACCCCACTGAACCTCACAGTCCTTGTTTAAAATTTGTTGGGATCCACAAAACTGCATATTGAGAATAAATTAACATTATGAGATACCCTGAGTTTGTGTGAGTCCTTGTTTTCTGTAAGAATTAAGAATCTCGCGTAACTGGCAAGTCCTAGATGTTTGTGGTACTTTCTTCAGTTATTAAAGTATTATCTCAAGAAACAACTTTTTTAATGACTATTAAGTGCTGTTTGTAGTGATTCGTGTTCAAAAGACATTCCATTGGACTTAAGCGAGGCGTTTCGACTCATAATACTGAACAGGCGTTTCGGAAGCCGGATTGAATTTGATGGTGTCTTACAGGAGTTCCAAAAAGTATGGAAGAATAATTCTATCCCTTCTATGACTACCCATACTCAGTACATGCACGGCGAAGGTAAACTGCTGATTTCGGATTCTGTTAACAGAAACTTACTTTTTAACCTTATGGGGGAGATCATAAACTAGTATTATCTACGACATGTTTTAGTTACCATGCTCATAACAAACACGCATCGCTCTACTTAGGAAGAGTATTTGGCTAACTTACCTTACCTAAAAATTTATCAGTCCAGTTGAAAACAATATTTATGATGGATAGAAATGTATATTCGCAAGTTATATAGTATTCATAAATAGTTTAACGCTCAATTGTTTCAACCTACATCTTAATAACAACTACCAACATCCATGTTCATCACTATCATAACTAGGGAGGTGAATCATATGTAAATTATTTTACAGCTTATTTTTGCTTGAAACTCTGAGTTTGGTCTATTTTTGACTTGATTAATGAAGAATTTCACTTGCCTGAATTTGCATTGTGACAAATAACCAAATTAGGATTACTAGACACTCATACAGGTTGTCAGCAACAAATACGTCAAGCTGCTAATAGACTGTGATAAAAGCTATGTACTAAGCGCAAAGATTACGAAATTCGACGTGTGACGGAAAAAATGCCGTGAGTAGCTGATAAAAAACGACATCTAAAATCCTCGACAGCATGTTACATGTGAGTGAGAACCAGTGGCATGACTTTTCGACCATGCTGACAAGGAAGTAACCGTGTTTATAACTTAACCACGCGTCTTTCCCATGACCTTGGACTACCCAAATGACAACGGACATCCAATGTTTGAAGCGCTTGAGGTCGATCGCGTGCGTGCAAAATAGCGTGGTTCTCAGGTGTTCGCTTATATACATCTATTGTTGACTTCTTAAAACAAACAAAATGCGTCCTTAATCGTCAACTATCTCATTGTAAACTCCAAGTGGTTTGTTGCTGTGTAACACTATCTGTTCCAGTTTCGGTTTGGAGAAGATAGGAGGCTTGATGATCTGTGTTAGTCCTGGATATGATGGTTTCTCAGTTGATCCAACTTTCTCTTGAAATAGTCGACGGACGGAGCCTCAAACACGTGCTGAGATAATGAATTCCACTCGTTGATGATTCGATGGGAAAGTCGACAGTCAACTGACAAGTAATTTGTTATAGGCTTGTGAACCGTTTTGGAGTCTCCTCGTAAATTCTCTGCTTTGGAAGACAAGAAAAATGAGGGCACATCAGGTGCAAATATATCACTAAGTAATTTGAAAACCGTAATCAAGTCACTACTAGTTCTTCGATATGACAACGGGAATACGTTTAGTATAGCTAGTAGAGCATCATACGGGAGCTTCACTATTCCCGGAATCAGCTTAGTTGCTGTTCTGTGGACCCTTTACAAGACCTCACTGTCTTTTTTAAGCAGGAGCCGGCCGCTAGTATGTAGTACTCAAGTTGAGGACTCATGAACACTGTATGCAAAGTCAAAAAAGTTTTGGCGTCAACATGGCTGAAGGCCCTATGTATTGAACAAAGGGTTATAAAACCTCTGGCAGCTATTGTGCGGCAGTGTGCAGTAATCTTTAAGTTCTGGATAACGATGACTCTTAAATCATTGTGTGTCTGGACAACAGGTAGCTCAGTGTTATTCATCATGTGTGTATCCATACCTTGATGACCAATATGCATCACAATACACTTGGAAGTATTTATCGGCAACTACCAGGTTTGAGACCATTCAGGTAATTTCTCCAAGTCCCACTGAAGTTCTGAGCTGTCACATTTATCTCTGATCGCCCTCTATATCTTGACATCGTCAGCATATGGCAAGACTGATGATGATAGTAGACGAGGAAGGTCATTTACATATAAGAGGAATAGCAGTGGCCCTAAAACTGTACCCTGAGGCACTTCGCTATGCACAGTTTCTTAGCTAGACAACTTGGGGTTCATCCGTACCCTTTGTTGGCGCCCAGTTAGGGAGTCTTTTATTCACATTAACAGATTACCTTCAACCCCGACATTTCTTAGCTTATATAACAGTCGGTTTTGCATAACTTTGTCAAAAGCTTTGCTGAAGTAAACATAGGCTACGTCTAAAAGTAACTTTTAGTCTTTACGGGCACGCCAGCTTTCACGAACCACTAATAAATTAGTGAGACAGGAATAACATATTCTAAAACGATTCTACATTTACAAAAGAATCTGGTTCTCATCGACATACTTAAACAGCTCCTTCTGAAAAACCTTTTCCAAGATTTTAACAACAGCACTAGTTAAGCTAACGGGCCGGTAATTCTCAGGTTTATGTTTTATACCTGTTTTGAAGATCGGGTTTACTATGGCGTTCTTCCAGTCTATTGATAAACAACCTTGGGTTACGGATAGATTAAAGCATACACTTAGGGGTTCACAACGAAGCTAGCTAATTCCTTTAGTAACCTAAGATGAAGTTCATTGGGTCCCGTGGATTTGTTTATATTAAGCTTATTTAGCAGACCAAAGGCATCGAATTATTTAATGATCATGTTGTCCAGTGTTTGTGTGGGGGGACTTATATGAACTGACGGGAAGGGTGTTTCTACGGTATATACGTTGCCAAAGTAGTCTGAGAATACTCGAGCTTCACCATACTCGTCCTCTACCAATGATGAAGCATTACTGTTTCCCCATACTGCTGGAATATTACCTCTTCTTTGTCTCCTTTGGCTTATATACAAATACAAGCGTTTAGTGCATTCTATAGATTCCTTGACAATTTATTATTCGTACAACCTTCTAGACTTAAAGAGGGTCAACGTACAGATATTTCGAACTTCTCGATATCGAGATTCTGTCCCATCTCACATTCTCCTCCTCTTACAGAGAAGGGTGCGAACCTCCCTACTGAACCATAGTGGAAAGTTTCACGGCTTTCTTGGTGTAGTCCAAGGAATTTGGGTTGCAGTAACTTCTAAGTATAAATTTCGGATTGCCTCCCGAGCTGTGTCCAATTGAGGGGATCCTGGTTCTGTTGTCTAATTCACTGACGATTCTGAATGCATAATAAGTTGTATATTAGCTTTCCAAACGTTAGGTATGGATTGAGACTACTAGTTCTCGTTTTTGATAACTATATGGAAGTCAGAGATTAGAATCGTATGATCACTTTTACCTAGGAGTGGCATGCAATCAAGGTTCGTGACATCATCCTCATGATGGGTCGATACAAGATCTAGTAAGGATGATTCAGAGCCTACCTAGTCGCTTCTTTCACATGTACTAGGGCACATGTGATAACCGCATCAACTAGTTCCTGATCGGAGGAACTTTTTGACAATTCAGTTCTCAGATTTTTCCAATCTACTGTAGGTTCATTAAAGTCTCACGGACTTAGACATGGACCACTTCGTAATCAAGTGTTGAGACTGTTTATCAAGACCTCGTTTACCTCACAGCTTGAACTGCAATAGACCAAAACAATCAGCAGCTCTTGTCCCTTGCATTCCAAGCGGCAACTAACTAATTCACGCGTCCCACTCTCATGGGATACACTGCCGACAATGGCGAATGGGATAGTATTCTTAACGAATAGAGCTACCCCCTCCTTTACGCTTCTGGATTCTGTCAGCTGTTGTCAACGTGAAACCCTCAAAAGCAAGTTCCATACTATCTATAGGCTGCATCAGCCAAGTTTCTGTGACCGCGATTATATTTAGCTTGATTGAGTCAATCTGTGCACTTAGTTCCGACCGCTTATTGAGCAAATTTCGGGCAATAGTCTGTTTAAACAGCTTCATGCTGCACCCATAGTGGTTTCGGCATATTTTTCTGTTGACGCCCCACAGCTTGAAAATTTACAATTTTTAGGTCACTTTCGCTAGCATCTAACCTCAGTTTTAGTCCTTTTTCAGCTTCTCATGTTTTTACACAGTCTGCGAGCAACATGTCCTTACGTACAAAAATTTTTGAACCCTTTAGTTTATGTCCATTCCGTAATACTAAGTTCCTTTCACAGAGAGATTTAAGTTCCACTTTAAGCAACGTGGTTTGATTTGGTTTTAAGTTTGCTTGACTAACCAGTCTATACAACTTTATCAAGGTGACTCTGGAGATATCCTGTGGTATAAGCTGATTAAGTAGCTGTTTTAGTAAACCAATACCTTGCTGAAAACGAGACTCAGGTTCTGAGCTTTCACTCTCCTTGATTCTATTAAAAGTCACTGCCCTTTCTCTATGATCAGTCTTTAATTTCTCGGCTACTTTCCGAGAGATTGCGTTTTCTTTCTTATCTTTTATGCCGTTTCTTGTTTGCGTTTGTACGCATTCATCAATTTTCGTCGGAGTAGCAACCACAGCCAAATCAGACAAACCTCTTTGAAGTCGATCTTTCCTCCTTTGGTCTATGTGAGTCAGTTGTTACCAAGCTTGTTTGAGGTGGTTTCACATCAATATGTGGGTCGGAAGAGTGCGTATTGTTCTTTGTGTCCCGATCTCGTTTGCTAATACACTTTTTAGCAGCATTTACCGTTTTAATGACCTCGGTTAGCAAGCTGTTTGCATCCGAACAGCACTATTGTTAAAGCCATATGTAACCGTTTTTACTGAACCGTTTGAAAGATTCAGGCGTTAGATTTGCGCAAACGTCGTGTACAAGCCTTTGCACTCATTGCAATGCATGCCACTTGGCCAAAAAGCAGAAGTCTGTTGACGGTTGCAATAAAATATATTTGTCGGCAATCTCGTGGTATCGAAAGAATACCAAGACGTGCCGAAGTTTATAAGCGTAACTACCGAGCGTAAGCGAGTTCGTGCAAGGTCACAGGCGACGGGAGAATGTGTTTTTGGTACACTTAGACAAACAGGTACAGTAAAACAATTACTGGTACAGTTGGTCATAATAATAATTGTTTCCATCATATCAATCTCGTTTTCGTCACAAAAGTAGGTCACTGAACTCTGAAACGATACGTTAACTAAGATAAATTCAATTGAAGTGTAAACTGTAGTTTTGATAGGTAATAAACGATGAAAACAAAAAAATTGAAACAGCGGGGAAAGATGCCACTTTTCTTTTTAAATAGCGCAGGTTTTTTGAAAGTTGAAAGTGTCGTGTAGTTGTTAGGAAGTTTGGTTGACTCATGAATAAAGTGGCTTATTGTGCTTTTTCCCGTAATCTATCTGCTACAGGTAAACAAACAAGTACAGTAAAGCTGGTACAATTGGTTATAATAATAATGGTTTCCATCATACCAACCGCGTTCTCGTCACAAAAGTAGGTCACTACAAGTTAATACAACCACAGCGTATTCATTCCTTCACAGAGTTTGTTCTTCAATCCTGATTCACTTTGTTGCACCCTTATGTACTTCTTTCAAGGTAATCATATCCCTTTGAAAGAGAACGGTGTTGTTGGTCTCCAGATGTAGAAGTCTGTAGGTCTTTGATAGTTCCAGAATGAGTTAGGAAGTTAGAATGCCCAGTTGCCTTCGAAAGAAGTGAAGACTACGTGGAAATTAAACTCAGCTCCGAAGTATTTACCATTAGTGGTTAGTCTTTCTATTGTTAACAAACTCAAGTTGCACTTCAGGAACGTCTCAGAGGATTGGTGGCTGTAAATAAGGTAGTCGACCTAAGGGCTGACTGAAGCTCAAGATAGTATCGTTTGATGTTATTGGAGACTGGATGTGATGCTATAATTTTGAGCCTATAATTCCAACAGTCTTAAGGTTTTTTGGGATCTTATAAATAACCGTCACATATCATAGCTTCCTACATGGATGATAGATTGCTGTTACACAGTTCCACTTGCAAGTCTGAAATCATGTACGGTTCATCGTGCTTTCGTTTGAGTCGTAGATTCGCTTTTATAAAAGTGAGTGATAAAATCTTGTGTAGGGCCAGTGAAATGTCATTGAGCCCAAGCCAAATCATCTGGCAGTTGGGCCACTGAATATGGAACAGATCGTCGATCCCCGTCAAGGTCAAAAATAAACAACGCACATCAGTTAATCGTATACCACAGACTGGCGCATGCGGTGGTGGTCTCGCTATCTTCACTGTACTCATTCTTACCAATATATTTACATAATAACGTCCTTTGTGTTATATGGTCTTCAAAGCAGCCATAGTACTTTGATACGTCGAAGTGGTAATCCACGTTAGATGCTGGCCGCGAGGTGTGGCTTCGAAGTTAGCTGGTTCGACACACCGTTCACGTCTAACTCGAGTAGGCCTCCAATCATTGGACAGAGATCATCATCGTTGATGATCCATACTTGGTTATCTAGACTGTATTAGGTGAAAATTTTCTCAAATTTACAACACGATAGATGGAAGGGGAAAAATATAACCACCAAACAGATCTTTCCGTTTTCATACTAAGAAATTATTTCAATTTATTAAAGTGTTCACTTCATGCTGAGTGCCATATTTGACGTTAGAAGTTGAAAGTACATGGTGCTGCTATAAGATAGATTTTACGATGCACCACTTCACAACAATCACTCACTAGCTTTCTGGAGTTTAGTGATTCCCAATCGAAGTTGTTTGATAAAAATGTTTTCAAACACTTAATTCTATGTGACTTACATATGTTTAAGTGATACTACCTACTATTAGTTAGTAGTTTCAGTGGAATGAAATCATTTACGTGTATTGACATTGAATTTACTGCCAAGAAACTATCACTTAGATTGCACATTCTCTGTTCAATAGTTTATTTGTAACTCATTCATTTGCTGCACTTCATTTTCATATCCTTTTATCCAAGAGATATACATCAATAATTGGATTTTGTGAATAGTTATCAGATGACTGTAGTGCATCATTATGAATCATCTATTGATTGGCAATTTAACTATACATTCTCTTAAGAATTCCAGAGTATGTACAATGAATCTAAAAATTATCCTTCAAAACAGTAGTTTATATGATTGTTTATGACTACGTATTGATGTGCATGCAATAACATAAAATGTGGTTGAATGAAGAGTAATCCACAAAGCACGAATACATACAGAGAGAATCACTAGACAAGTAATACTTTTATGTACTTGAATTTTGATTCATTAGCTAAGTTATCAAAGGGCTTGTAGAACTTCATCTTCAATATCATGTCGGTTCTATGCTTATCGAAACACTTGATTTCACTGCAGTCAAAAGTGAGTTTGATAAGTTGAAAAAGATTTTAAACGATTCCTTCAAATATAGATGGTGGTTAGCAGTGGAATCCAGTTTGACGCGCGTTTCGTCCTATTTGGGACTCGTCAGCTGGATGTACCTGGTTTGAAGTGTAACTTTCAAACCCTACACATCACATGATGATAAACTCTAACGGATGACAAAATGAATTGGAACAAGATATATACACTAATGATTATATGTACATTACACATGTACAATGTACGTTACGAAAATGGTGCATTCAATTAGTTAAGTTCATTTTAATATATATGATCAACACAAAATGTTGACTATCGATGGGACTAATTACTTAAGTCATTTATTATTTAATACTATAGTAGGAAGTATCTTAAATTATTTTGGTCATTGTACGGTAGCGTTTTTTATTAGCGGTTTAGTTTTCTACGGGATGGGGTCGCTAAACCCTATACCCAACTCTCTTCATTCATCCGGCCTTATGAGTGTAAGTAGCCACCAGATGGGCTACGGACGATGTTTTTGCCAATAAACATTCAAAGTAATCTCTTTTGTTATTTTTATAATGTAGTGAACAAGAACACGAGCGGAGGACAGTCGAATGTATTTAAGCACAAATTACAGACTATCTCACTAAATTCTGATAACCATATAGTAATCAGTTCATTTTCAAAACAACAATCAATTATCTCAATCTTCACAGTTCCTTCTGTAAATATCAGTCCATCTTCTCTAATTTCATTATTCATGCATTTTTATACCGATCACTATTCATTCCTATCCTTTCCTTATCGATCAATGTCTGACTATTACCATATACTACTTATATGAATATAAGTAGGCCATATCACAATATCACCAAAACATATTACTAATGTCCATATTAAGAACAATATTCCTATCGGATTGTGTTATTGTATTTAAAAAATTAAGAAAGCACTAAATAAATAAATAGATAAATAATCCATCAATCAATCAATCAATCAATCAAATGCATACATCCCTTTCATATATATATATATTTTTATATTTTATTGATTACTTAACATAAATTTGATTGGTCATGTGAACAACTTATTTTCTGATTGGTTCTTTTTCAATTTTATTTTTTTTTTGTATTTTTAAAAAAAATTTTTTGGAGGTTTATTTAAATACTATTCATTAAATTAAACATATGATATTAATTATTTCAATGTTCAAAGTGGATTATATATGAATATTAAATATGCATAAAATTTATCCATGGTTAATTTTAATAAATGCTTCATTATGTGTTATTTGTTTAGGTGGTAAACGTAGAGCATTTGGTATATTTATAGCAAAATTACATTCAGAATTTAATAATATAACATTAACTGAATTAAATTGGATTGGTGATTCATATTCAGCATTAGGTTATTTAACTACTACCTTGACAACTACATTTATTTTATTTATAAATAGAAAATATGGTCTTACACAATTTATTGGTTCTATATTTATATTATTAGCATGTATAACAAGTTCATTTGTTCCTAATCCACATTGGTTATTTTTAACACATACTATATTTCATGGTATTGGTTCATCATTTATATTAAGTACATGTGGTTTAATTATTAATGAATATTTTGATAAAAATCATCATTATCATATTTTAGCAACTACATTAGTATCTGGTGGTTCAGTTGCATCTATATTATTTGTTGAATTTTATGCTTTATTAATTGATCAATATGGTTGGAGATTAGCATTTATTATACTTGGTATTATATATTTTATTATATTATTTATAAGTTCATTAATATTTCGTAAAGATATTACTAAATCAAATTCATATCATCATGATCCTAATCATGATCCTAATCATGATCGTGATCATCATCATCATCATCATCAATCTATGAATCCATGGAATTTATGTCAATTATCATGGCAACATAAATTATTACTTTTATTATGGATAATTGATAGAATTATAACAAGTATTGTTACATATGGTATGTTATTAAATTTAACTGATTATGTATATCAACATGAAACATTATTAACTAATAGTATTTTATTTACAAATTTATTTGCATCTGGTGAATCTACTACTTATATTATTGGTACTATATTAACTGGTTTAACTAAAAATTTTTTAAAAAATCGTTTAAAATATATTCTTATTATATCTAGTATTGGTATGTCATTTAATTTAATTCTATGGGAATATTATACATATCATCATTTAATTAGTTCTATATTATCTTATTTATGTGGTTTTTGTTTAGGACCATCTATTACATTTTTATATCCAATTAGTGAAGAAATGACATTATTACCAGGTTATATTGCATATCCTTTATCATTAAGTGGTATGGGTATTGGTATGTTATTATCACCTATATTATCTGCATTAATAGCACAAACATTTAAATATCGTTGGTTTTTTTTAATACAAGGAATAATTGTTATTATTAAATGTATTTGTTTATTATTGTCATGGAAATTATTAAATAATTTAATGAAATTAATAAATAAACAACAAATGATAATAATAATAAATAAAAATGATAATGAAGAAGAGAAAAGAGAACAACAAAGAGAAGAAAAAAAAGAAAAACAGAAGGAAGAAGGTCATGAGGATGACGACGATGACAGCGATGATGATGATGATCATTCGTTTAAATCTCATAGTGAAACACATTGTTTAATAAATCCAATGACACAAAAACAACCTCATTCAAAAAGGATTTAACTTTTTTTTTTTCTTTTTTCTTCCTTCTTATATTGATTTATTTTGTTTTATTTTATTTCTTTTCTTCTTTTTTTTTTCTTTAAATTTTGTTATTGTTATGGTTGGTAATTTGATATCTTGATGAAATAGACTACTTATTATGATTAGTTATATTGTATATGTGATATAGAGTTTTTGTTGAATAAGATTTATCATACAAATAATAGAGTGTTCATTTGGATAATATATTCATAATTCTAAGACATTGATATAAACGATTTTTTTTTAGTAAAGGGGGATAGTAGCTAGCAGTGGAATGTAGTTTGACATGTGATTCGTTAGCTGGATGTACCTGTATCGCAGAGTTAATGTTCACTCCGGGACTCGAACCCAGTACCATTCGCTTCAAACGCCATCACTCTATCCACTCGGTCACTGAGTCCTGATAGCCACTTGCTTATGCAATGGGGTGACGTTTAAATGCATTTAGTACTTTTTGTTTGAATCTTCCCATTGACGCTCAGGACTGTAAGTGACTATTAGGACTCAGTAACTGAGTGGATAACGCAATGGCTTTTGAAGTGAAAGGTACTGAGTTCGAGTCCCAGAGTGAACATCAACTCTGAGATGCAGGTACATCCAGCTGACGAGCCCCAAATAGTACGAAACCTGCGTCCTGGATTCCACTGCTAGCCACTATCCATCTTTGCTTACAATGCTTGTGAATTAAGGTAATATCGAGGTAATATTCACAGTATGCTCATATGTCAATAAGAGACTGACCAGCTGCAATCCTAAACATCAATGGGAAGATTCAAAGAAACAGTACTAAGTGGATGTTTTTAGTGTTTAGTTTCGTTAAGCTTGAAAGAGAATACTGATAAATTGAAAGATTGTGATGTTATATACTCATTAAGTGTCAAATATTTGATGTTAAAGTGTGATAAACAGTTTTATATTAGAAACTAGAAATGTGATTAGAATGAAATCTTATAAAAATATAACCATGTTAATAATTAAACATACATCATGGTATTGTGGTGTGGTCTACTTATATCCACATCATATTTTTGTTTAGAAATTCCAAAGATAGTAGTTAATAGTGAAATGAAATGTTTACATACTATCTTCTTTAGGAATGTAAAAAGTACTATAGAAAGATCTTGATTAGCTTTTAATCTTAGTCATGTCTATAAACGTCTCAATGTACTGAACTTCACCATTTCTAGAACATTAATCAAGAAGTCGTGATGCTCTGACAGTTGCCAATCCCATTTAGTATTTATTTGATTCTTCCATACTATATCATAAACTGACTAAGTCTATAACTAGTTTAAGCTATAAGAAATAATGTACAATTTGTAAGTCTTTAGGATAACATTTATAAATCATGTCCAATCTATCGAAATTGTTATACCCCTTATAACAATACAGAAGTCCAACTAAAGTGCTCATAAGCGTTAAAGTCTAATTATTATCAGCAATCAATAATTAAAACACTAATATAATCAATAATTATTTTCATTTATATTCAATAATAATAGTAAACTGAAATAATTCAATGTGTTTTACTCAATATATCACACATATAAGTTACTGTTTACTGTTTATTCTTGTGAGCAATCCACAATAAATCAGAGAAATGAGATTCAACTTTCCCTCTAACAAGTAGTCATTATCATATAACATTAATTACAATGTTTTTCTGGTTTTATTTAACGAATAGTTTTCATTAAACCTATAATTAGTCAATCTATGAACTAATTATTCTGCTACAATAATGTTGACTGTTAGATGATGGAAAAGATTTGTAGCTCAGGTTGTATCTCTTATAGGAGAATCACATGTGGAGAAATTCAAACACTTCACTTCTACCCGAATTTTTTGCTGATGATGTCGTTCAGAAAAATGATGAAAGCTCCATGACCAAACCATCCAGCACAGAGAACAAACCTACATCAAAATGTTGACTATTTATTGTTTAATAATGAATTAAAAAGTTCTCGTTTTCAAAAATGTATTCAATTGCATTTTTTAATATATTACAATGAAAAGTTATCTAATTGAAAGTTTCCATTTGATTTCTGATTAAATTCTTAACACACATATATTCTAGGTGAAATAGTTGTGACACCGATATGCATCCCTTGTATACATGAGATCGACCTGATACTTGAGTGAGATGGCAAGGAATGAATCTAACCAATTACTTACTTACGCCTGTTACCCCTCGTGGAGTAGCATAGGCCGCACACCAGTATTCTCCATCCAACTCTGTCCTGAGCCTTCCTTTTCAGTTCTTTCCAGTTGTTATTCATTCTTTTCATATCTGCTTCTATTTCCCGGCGTAGTGTGTTCTTTGGCCTTCCTCTTTTCCGCTTCCCTCCACCATTCCAAGTTATGGCTTGCCTCGTGATGCACATCGGTGATTTCCTTAGTGTATGTCCTATCCACTTCCAACATCTTTTCCTAATTTCCTCTTCAACTGGAAGCTGGTTTGTCTTCTCCCATAAAACGCTGTTGGTGATAGTATCTGGCCAATGGATGTTGAGTATTTTGTGCAGACAACTGTTTATAAATACTTGTACCTTCTTGACGATGGCTGTAGTAGTTCTCCACATTTCAGCTCCGTACAGTAGGACTGTCTTGACGTTCGTATTAAAGATTCTGACCTTGAAATTGGTTGAGAGTTGTTTTGAGTTCCATATGTCCTTTATTTGTAAAAATGCTGCCCTTGCTTTGCCAATCCTCGTCTTTACATTTGCATCCGATCCTCCTTGTTTATCAACGATGCTCCCCAGGTACTTGAATGTTTCCACCTCTCCCAGAGTTTCGACATCAAGTGTGATTGGCTTGGCGTTCTCCGTGTAGTATTTGAGAATGCTGCTATTTCCTTTGTGCATGTTGAGGCTTATTGATGCAGAGGCTGCTGCTACATTAGTTGTCTTCGTCTGTATATGTTTGTCTATATGGGATAAAAGGGCTAGGTCGTCTGCGAAGTCCAAATAGTCTAATTGATTCTGACATGTCCATTGTATTCCGTGCTTCCCCTCCGATTTCGTGGTCTTCATAACCCAGTCATTCGCCAGAAGAAAGAAAAAGGATGAAAGTATAAAGCCTTGTCTGACACTGATACTCACTTGGAATGCTTCTGTCAAGTGTACTCCATGCACGACTTTGTAGTGTAGTCCGTCATATGAATTCCGTGTGATGCTGACGATTTTTTTAGTTACATCGTTGTGTGGAAGGAGTCTCCATAATGTTCTCCTGACCACACTGTCAAATGCCTTCTCATAGTCAATGAAGTTGATGTATAGTGACGAGTTCCATTCAACTGATTGTTCAACGATGATCCGTAGTGTCGCAATTCGGTCTGCGCACGACTGATACCTACGGAATCCAGCCTATTGATTTTGAAGGTGGGTGTCTACTGAATCTTTCAACCGGTTCAGCAACACTGTTGAAAACTTTTCCTGTTACTGACAACAAAGAGATGCCTCTGTAATTCTCACAATCGCTCAGATCTTCTTTCTTTGGTATCTTGACGAGGTATCCTTCTTTCCAGTTCGTTGGCACCATTTCAGACAGAATTAATAACCGATAGCTGTGTTTGGAATAATGTGATCTATCAATATCGAAGTTTAATCGAAAACCTAAACTATAGAATGACAGCTACATAGTCTAAAACAACGTTGTCGTTGATGAGTCTAGAGACTCTGAGTTCAATTACTTTGGGGATTGTGGATACCTATACAATATGCACCAATCAAATTACACTTGACGGAGAAGCTTTGGAGGATGTGGAAACCTTTACATATCTGGGCAGCATGATTGATGAACACGGTGGATCAGATGCAGACGTGAGGGCGCGGATCGGCAAAGCAAGAGCAGCATACCTACAACTGAAAAGCATCTGGAGCTCAAAACAATTGTCAACCAACACCAAGGTTAGAATTTTCAATACAAATGTCAAGACAGTTCTACTGTATGGGGCGGAGACGTGGAGAACTACGAAAGCCATTATCCAGAAGATACAAGTGTTCATCAACAGCTGTCTACGCAAAATACTTCGGATCCGATGGCCAGACACTATCAGCAATAAGTTACTGTGGGAGACAACAAACCAGAATCCAGCGGAGGAAGAAATCAGGAAGAAGCGCTGGAAGTGGATTGGGCACACCTTGAGGAAATCACCTAATTGCGTCACAAGACAAACCCTCACATGGAATCCTGAAGGTCAAAGGAGAAGAGCAAGACCAAAGAACACATTATGCCGAGAAATAGAGACAGACATGAGAAGAATGAACAAAAATGAATAGAACTAGAAAAGAAGGCACAGGATAGAGTGGGTTGGAGAAAGCTGGTCGGCGGCCTATGCTCCATTGGGAGTAACAGGCGTAAGTAAGTAAGTAAGTTGTGGATACCTATTATTATGAACCCTAAAACCAGAACGAAACGGCTCTTTATAGCTTATTCATTTTCAGTAGTGTTTTTTTGGTACCATAAATCTGTATTGTAAATAATTAGCTAGTCAATTCCTCTAATGTAACACTTAATAAAAGTGTATACGTCTAGAACTAGTTCAGCATTATAGGATCTTAAATTCATGGCATTCAATCTCTATGTTAATCTTTAGATCAACTGTAAACTAATCAAAAAGGGATTAGAAATAGAAGAAAACTGTCCAAATGACAAATTAGACAGTATTATCATTCACTGATTGTCAGGAATATAAAAAAAGATCTAATAGATCCCTACCTGTTAGTACTTCTCTAATTGTTATACAAAAAAATAAATGAATGATCAATCAGATCTCTCAATGCTATTCTCGATTGATAAGTATTGATATATTATTGTATAACTAACATATAGGTAAACTGTAAAATGACAATAGAGGTGAACTAAGTAATCAAAATTTTTGATGTTTCACGTTTTGGACATAAGTGTATAACTCTTATTCATTATAGATACTAACCTGTTGGGGATGTCGAATCCCCAGAACTTACTCAGTAAATGGCTTA